CAGTGCTCTGAAAAAACCTGTATGCTCACATAACATCCCCAGGTATTTTGATTTAGTAAGTTTGGAACCAGGACCTAGCATCCTTGCGAAAATCTGCCCTGAAGATTTTAAAGTGAAGCCTGGGGTGACATCATTGGCACTAATGGGTAGTGATTAATATGATGAAACCCATTGTTTTAACACATAAAAATAATATGTACCCATGGGTCAAGAAGATCTTCTTTATTCTCTGACCATCATTCTAGTTGGTGGGCAAGACAAGGGGTGGGGAAGTAATCAGGCCCATTGACTCACATCTACTGGGGTCATTATACAAAGAGGTGATGTACTAGTTTTCTAGAGCCACAGTGAAAAATTACCATAAGCTGGGTGGCTGAAATAACAGAAACCTGTCCTTTCACAATTCTGGATACTATAAATCCATCGTCTAGCTGTCTGCAGGGCCGTTTTCTTTGAAGGCTCTAGGGGGAAAACCTCCCTTGCCTCTTCCTAGCTACAGGTAGTTGCTGGCAGTTCTTAATGTGCCCTTACTCACACATGCATCACTACAGGTTCTGCCTCCTTTGTCCCCAGGCCTTCTTCCCTGTACCCCCACACCCTTATATCTTCAAATTTTATAAGAATGCAAGTCATTGTATCAAATCCAATATAACCTCATTTTAACTTGATTTCATCTGCAAAGACCCTACTCTCAAATAAGGTGACATTTACAGGTATTACAAGTTAGGGTTTCAACATATCCTTTTTGGGGAAACACAATTTGACACACAACAGGCAATGTCTGTGTCTACTGAGCACCATCAGCACAAATTCTAAGACCTAGTTACTTTTCAAGGACCCATGGAAAATGTTTAAAACTTGAAAAACAATGTAAAACTATGAGCTCCAAAGTACCATAGAAAATTACAAATATGAATTTTAAAATGTTGAATTGAATGTCAATAAACTATAATAAATCTATTTCATAGATTCTATTTTTTAAAACTGTGAGTACTTTAATTTATAAAAGTGGTTATAAATAACATGTGGACTCCATTTTCCTCACCTCTAACAATTCTCCAGTATGAATGAAGATTTGCCAAAACGTCAAACATTCAAAATCTTTTCTGATATCCCAAGGCAAAAAAAATATATATATATCAAGTAGATTCTTGAAACATGTTAATATATTGCACGTGGTGTGGATGAGGTTTTCATAAATAAGGCATACCAAGAGCCTGCAGAGGTGGCACTGGCCCTGAATTTTCCACATACAATCTGGATAGATGTTGTCTAAATTTGCAAGTCTTATGAACCAATGTCTTGGACAACACCTGCTTGGAATTTTCTTAGGCAATTCCTGTGAAATTAAGAACTGAAACAATCATGTGGAGTAGACTGAGCACTCTAGGAACAGTGGAAAACCATATTCAGGGTGCTGGAAGAAATACCAGAAAAAAAAATTGCACTCAAGCCTTGGTGGAAAGACCTCATCAGATTCTATTAAATAGCAACTATATACCAGCAGCACTGAGGCAGAGTCTTAAATTCATGTTTTCTAATTTTAAAAGACATTATTATCTGCCCCTTTCCATCAGACACTCACTTCATCAGGAGACCTGTGGACAGTGGAGTATCAGTCTGAGCTGGGGACTGCTGTTGATCAGTGACTCCTAGATGACCTGTTCTTCCTTAGAGAAACAGTTTCCTCTGTTCTACTAATATTCTTGCCTTTGATTGTACTCTGACACACTCTAGTGATTGACTCAATATGCTTCCCATGTTACGAGTTCCCAAAACAGCCCCAGATTTAATGATTTGCTAGGAGGGCTTAGGGGACTCAGCATATAATTGGACACATAGCTTTCATTTACTACAGTGAAATGATACAAAGTAAATCAGCAAAGTGAAAAGGAGCATGGCATGAGGGCTAGAGGAAAAAAGGTTCAAGTTCTTAAGGGTCTTCTCCCAGTGGAGCTCCATGAGATCCTCTCAATTCCTCCAGCAATGAGTATGCCAACAGTGTGAAATGGTATCAGGGAAGCTCATTACAGACTTAGTGATCTAGGTTTTTATTTAGGCTGGCCACTTAGGTACCTCCTGCCTTGTATGTACCAAAATTCCAGACTTCCAGAAGGAGAATAGCATAAACTGCTGTTTGCATTTGTTCAGGCAGAGAGAGCCTCTTATCAGGAATGGTGGAAGCCCTCCTGAAATCAAAGTTCCCAGATGCCAACTTCTATAATTTGGATCTTGAGTGTCCCCAAGAGCCCATATGTTGAAGGCTTGGTCCCCAGCCCATGGCACTATTAAGAAGTGGTAGAACTTTTAAGAGATGAAAGGAAGTTGGAAGTTAAGTCATAGAAGGCCCTTGAAGGGGATAGTGGGACCTCAGGCTCCTTCCTCATTCTCTCCCTTTCTGCTTTCTAGCTGACATCCTTCACCATGCAATGAACTGCACAGCTGCTCATGTGAGGTATGCTTCTCCACAGTCATGTCTGAAAATGTTTTAAGTATACTGAGTACTTCTTCTGGATCCAGAACTAAAGGTGGTAATCAGGAGATGATTGGATTTTGGCTCTCCAAAATCATACCTGGATGTTGGACCAAAACTTGGCATTCTGTTCCTATTTCTGCTTCAATGTATTCTAAGAAACCAGCAACCCTATTCTCCATTGAGAGTTAGAACACCTATAATGGAGGCTCAGCACTGGCATCCAGCATGAAACAGGCTGGACAGTTTTGTTGGAAAGCTATTGCTATGATGGACCAAGGCCTAGGTCCATCTCCCACCACAGTACAGACATATTTACTAAGAGCACCTGCCACTGTTTACAGGTTCTCTCAGCAGCATCATGGTAAGTAGGAAGAATAAGCACATTATAAAAGGTGTGCAAAAATGAGCCAAAAAGGAGTTTTTCCATATTGTAAAAAAGATTGGCATGATGTGAAAGCACCAGCTATGTCCCTGATAAGACATATGGGGAAATCACTAATCACAAGTAATCAAGGAGCCAAAATGGCATCTAAAGACCATGTTTCTGAGGTTAGTCTTGCTTCAAAAAGATTACATGGCATTTAGGACACTCAGGATAATTACTGAGATTTCTCCAGGCAGAAATTCTTAACCAATTCTTGGAATGGCTCTTACCTGTTCCATGGTCAAAAAAAAAAAAAAAAATTGGCAGTGATCATGACTGAGTCTATGTTGACTTCAAGACTCATAATACTATGTTGACATCAAAATGATGCATAGTTATTAATTTCATATGTTCCCTGTGTTTTGACATTGTTATTAACAAATTAACACAAACAGGTGGGAAAAGAACATTCTCAGAAGGCCAGAAGTCTGAAACAGATCCTATTTGGTAAAAGCGGATGGTGTTCCTTCTTGAGACACTAGAGGGCGAATCCGTGTTGTTGCCTTTTCCAGCTTCAAGAGCTTTATGCTTTCTTGGGCTTTGGGTTCCCTCCTTACACCAATCAGACATCTTCCATCATCAAGTCTCCTTTCTCTAACTCTGATCACCTGTTGCCCTCTTAGAAGGACGCTTCCTTATGATTACATTGGGCTCACCCAATAATCCAGGTTAATTTCTCCAACTCAAAATCTTTATATAAAAACTTATTTTGCCATATGAGGTAACATTCACAGATCCCAAGAGCAAGAACATGGACAACTTTGGGGATAGGTGGGGCAATTATTCTGCCTATCATAGTATTTTTGTTTTGTTTTGTTTTAGTACTGAGGATTGAACCCAGGGGTGCTTAACACTGAGTCACATTCCCAGCCCTTTTAAAATATTTAGGGTCTCACTGAGTTGCTAAGTTCCTCACTAAATTGGTGAGGCTGCCTTTGAACTCACGATACTCCTACCTCAGCCTCCTGAGCCACTGGGAATACAGGCATGTGACCCCCAACCCAGCTTGTAGTATTTTTAATTGGGAAAAAAAAGAGAATAGCACCTACAGGTCTACCAAATCTGGAAGATAATAAAAGTCATGACCAGAGAGATATAGACAAATGAAATATGTGGTAAAAAAGTTGATTTCTTTTCCCAGCTGCACTGGGAAAGACATAAAAGAAGCTGGCCACCCTATTTATCCTTCTTATGATGTGCTTGCTTTAAGAATGCTAGAGAGGCATAAGTTTGAAATGGGAAAATAGGGCTTTATGGTGAAGACAGTGGTTCTGAAAAATGGGGGCTAAAGTTGAATGAATTGATATGAACTCCTATTCAAAAATTTGAAGTTAAGAAGTTGTAAATGGTGACCCAAAAAAAAAATCTTAGTGAAAAAGTAAACTTTCTACAGTAATCCAGGAAGCAGTGGGGAAGTTGCCTTAGATGGGGGAACCCAGAGACTGACCACGTGACAAAGCCTTGCAAGAAAGGCTTCACATGCAAGGAAATTATTCAGGAGGGAAATAACCACTGGTAGAAAATGGGGAATATGGCAAAACAGGGAGGTCCCAATGGAGTATGTTATCCAGTCTCATACTATGTGGATGACTGAAACATCAGTCCTACTGGGGAAAGCCTGGCCAGTGTGGAAGACAAACCTCAGACTTACTCTTCCTGTGCTACCAGGTTGCTGGGGACTTACACACCTACTCCCCATCAATCATTGGTAGAGACTACCTCCAAGTGGACATCATTCTTGGCATTTCTTGTCTGCCCAGCAAGAAGCAAAGAACTCAGAGGCAAGACTCTCAGGCTGCAAAATGCAGATGCAGTAGTTCAAATGATGAGTAGTTCAAATGAGATAAAGGCAAACAGGGAGTTTGAGCGTGGAACTAACCTGCTACAAGGAAATAGATCGCTAGATTAATCAATGGAATGGTTTCAAAGGGGCCTAGTTCTCCTTATGCATAATGGTTACTCTACCATAGTGCAAATGGTCAGTAAGAGGATGGACCAACAAAGGAACAAGTTTAATACTTCTATAGTTACATTTTAGAACAGGACAAGATGATCAGCAGATAACAAGTTGCATGGTTTCTGTGTTTCAAAACTTTAAATGAAAGACTGCATTTGGAATTATTTTGTAAAATGACAAACATTTACATGATGTAGAATAGAAACAATGAAAAATTGTCAAGTGATACAAAGAAAAGTTAGTAAGCATAAATTTTCACTTTGTGAACTTCTTTGTCATCACATTCCCTCTGTTTGTTGTAGTAATAAAAAGTATTGTCCCTTCTCTGAAGTTTCTTCACATAGCCTGTCTCTGGCCATCGATCTACCTGCACAATCAAAAACCAGAATATAAATATTGTAATGCCCATTTTATTTTATCTCATATTTTACTATCAAATAGTCAAAAGTACACTTGCATCAAAAACTTGAAGTATAAATTTTACAATGCTTGTATTCTTAGAGTATTACCCACACAAAAAAAAACAGACCTTAAGCTATAAATTCATACTGTAAGAACAACTAATTCAGTGCTTCTCTCTGAAACTCAATTTCTAGGATTAGATGTCTACATGGTGGTCCAGATAGGGAAAATATTTCAAATAATATAAACTTAATTCTTCTTATGTTTATAAATTATTTCAAATGTAATTACTTATAAAAATAACCCAAGGAGAAAATCAGGGGTAGGCCTATGTCCTATTCTGAAAGCACCATCTGTTGATTATGAATGTCATAGAGACAAAAGGAAGCAACTAGACTCAAAATATCTAAAGGTGCATATGTATTTCCTTCTGCTAAATTTTCAAATTCACCTCAAAGTCCAGTTTTTAATAGACATTTGAGGCCATTAAACATAGTATTCAACAATCTTTTCTTCGCCCACTATTCTTTCCTATATTCTATATTGGTTTGCTTACTTTCTCATATGACTTGACTTGACCTGACTTGAACATTTTTCTCCCTTTCCAATTGCAATGTTATGCCTTCTTAATCAGATTATTGCATTTTTGTTGTTGAATTTGTTCCTTCAGGATTTTGTGAGATGCACTTTATCATTGTCAAAAACACATCATTCAGGTTTCACCATCAATACAGGCAGCCATTCCTTTTAATATTCTACAAATCATAGCTTTCAATTGGAAGAAAAGATGCACATACTATCTAAGTTTTAGGTCTTTCATTTTCTAATATTGCATTTTCTTTTTCTTGTTTACTTATGAATTAGCAAAACAGTCAGCAGCATGTCTGATAAATCTTAACAGGCCCTCTCATATTTACACTGTAGGAAAACAGCAAACCTTTTCACCACTGTATGCCAAGCCTGTCTTTCTGCCTCCCATTACCCCAGCAGGGAAAGGAGGGCTTCTCAAGTCGCCCTTACAGACTCCCATTACTTACCAGGGCTACAAATACCATCCCGCACAGCGAATAAATAGTGCGACCACTGTCTCTGCAGAACATTTGGGGCCACATTATATGGAATGATATTTTTAAAAAGCTATATTGGGCCTGTGCTCATTGGCCTCTATAGATAGTTTTCTTTGTAAACCCCTTGCCATTTTTGATTATTTTTTTTTTCTTTTGGGCTTTGAACTTGATGACTCCCATTTGATTTAGAACCTCCTTCCTGTAATAGAATGGAATGACAGGATTCTCACGTCCAATTTCCTTCTGCTTAGCCAGGGAGGTCTGCAAGCACTACTAGTACTTGTCAATGGGGCAGGTTTCAGATAAGGAAAAAGAACTTTTCTCAAACCCACAGATCTCAGCATGTTGATAGGGACATCTCACTCAAGGCACACCTTCAGTTTCCACCTTATTGCTCCTTTATTAGCACCACAAATGCCACTGGGAGAATGGAGACTTTTATGAGGATTTTCCTCATTTTGTCCTCTAAATTTCTGTGCTGCTTCTTAAGGTACATATACTTTGACTTGCATACAGTTTTTTTCCCCCCTTTCTTTTTTTTGGGGGGGCAGGGTATGGGGGACTAAACTCAGGGGTATTCAACCACTGAGCCACATCCCCAGCCCTATTTTCCCATTTCGTATTTTATTTAAAGACAGGGTCACACTGCTTAGCACCTCACTGTTGCTGAGACTGGCTATGAACTCAAGCTCTTCCTGCCTCAGCTTCTTAAGCAGCTGGGATTACTGGCATACACCACTGTACCTGGCATTATATACATTTGTGTGTGTGTGTGTGTGTGTGTGTGTGTGTTACTTATTTTCTATTCCAAGACAATAAGAAAGCTATCAATCATTAATGACAGCATTAATAGTTAATTAACAGTTCTATCCACTCAACAAATTATTATAAGCACCACACTGCTAGGCACTCAAAACATATGCTTCATTTAATTCTTATGACAGTTTTTTAAAGCAGGCACTATTGTTATTTCATAGTTGAGGAAATAGAGGCTCAGTGAAGTTGAGAACCTTGTACAGGCCAATCAGCTTGAAGAGGTGAGGCCAACCTATAACTGATTCCAAAAGTCCTGTACTCTTCCATGAGTTCACTGGATTTCTTGCAGTCAGGTACTCTCTATTTTTATCTTTTAAAGCCTTTGGCACAAAAATTTGCATGCGGCAAGTATCCAATAAATATTGAATGAAAACACAAAGCCTCTATAATTACCAAGTAATAAAAGCAAACACGACAACTTTTGCACACAGATACACACACACACACACACACAAAAAAAAAACCCACACCCTTCTTGGTTGCTTTTTGGAACCTTCTCATTAAGGCTGTATTTTGTGTTCTCTTAAATAACATTATTAGGTATGGGGATTTATGGCAGGAGTGATTAGAACACAAAGCATGCATGTTGTGTTTCACACTGCCTCTATGATCCTGGGTCTTGAGTATCTTTAGGGACATCCCAATCCTTTTTGCCCCCTGGTGTTGGGGATCAAACCCAGAGCCTCGAACGTGCTAGGCAAGCACAATACCACTGTGCTACATCCCCAGACCCAGCATCTCAATTTAAGGCAAGGAATGAAGCTTATTTTTAAATAGCATTAACCTATTGAGTTCCAAGTTTTCATTTCTGCAAATATTTCAGTAAGTTGACATAGGTGCATTAAAATAGGTTAGACATAATATTCTAAAGCTTATATGCATATTAGTATTATTACATATTATTAGTTATATTAATTATCTTATATTAGCATTATTATTATTACATATTCTTATTATAATAAGATACTAAGTTTGTAAAATAGTTTGTATAGTTGTTCTACATCTGTGATGATGGGACAAAATGGGTTAAAATGACAATGATTCCAGTTTTTCCTATTTAAAAGCCACAGATGGTGCAGTAATGAAAACTATCTTTTGGTAAGGAGACCAGAGTAAAATGTTTGTATATATGAAGAGACAGACATATGAAAATCACAGTAATCTTCATTTGACCAGTATTTTTAACTTCATTTCTCACCAATTCTGTCAAATTAATGTCTATTAAATTCAACTCTATTAAATTAAAGAGCATATTACATTTTAGCTCTGTATTTCCTCTACATCTTTTCCTATCTACTTTTATAGAAAGTATTAAATAGAAAAAAGTAGAATGCAGAAGATTATAGAGATCTGAAAAATTCACAACCAGTTTCTAAAAAATGGTGAGTTAAAAAAATAGAATAAAAAATTTCTAAAACTTAGGTAAAATAACTGTTATAACTCAAAATTTAAATATTAAATATTATGATTAAGTATTATAAAAAATTAAATATATTATTAAGTGTCCTAAATTTTAAATTTTATGAATACTATGCCCAATTCTATGAGAATCTTAAAAACTCTCCTAGTAGCCAGTAGAATAAATGAGTTAAAAGAAATTATATTGTAACTGCTGCAAAGACTAGATCTCCTTCTAGTCTTTGAACAGCAAAACAATGTCTCTGCTCTCTCAGAAGGAATGTGCAACCAAAGTCAAGATTTGTTTGCTAACAGTGTTTTTATTTTTTCAAGTATAATCCCCTTAAAAAACATAAGTTAACTCCTTTCTGAGTCATGGTTAAAATAAATAAACAGAAGGGAGATAATAGTTATGATAATAGTTATACAACAAATTGAATAACTGATAATAGAATTACCCCCCCCCCCTTTTTTTTTCTGCCAGGAAATATTCTTTTAGCCAAGCCTGGCTGCTCAATAAAAGCTAAAAATTTTGAACTGCCCCCAGACAAGGGACTACCTCTTTGCCCTGTCAGCCTGACAAATCACTTTTCTGGGCCTTGGTCTCCTCCTCAATAAAATGAGAACTGCAGTAGAATTCCCTTCAGTTTTTTGTTTGTTTGGTTGGTTTGGTTTGGTTTTTAAAATTCTTTTCATACTCTAACAGACTCATTTCAAGTTCAGGTTTGTAGAGGCATAAATCTTACCATAGATACTTGTTTCACTTGTTTATATTCAATTTCATCCCGATATCCTGCTTGTTGAAATCTGTACAGATTTTCTATCTCTTCTGACCATTTTTTGGCACGACTTATTGATTTTGGTTTCACGTCAGAACTAGCCATGGCTACACAGGCCTTATTACCAATTATTTCTGAAAGATGTTAAAACAACATTGATAACTTAATAATAACAATTTTCAAATGTAACACTTAAAAATTATATACTGAGAACCCCAGTTTAAACATGTTAATTTTTTAACACTCAATTTTAAGATTCTAAAGGATTCGTGCTGTAATTTGGGAAACCAACAAAGAAACCTCTCCCTTCACAGAGAACTGTTTGTTTCTTCATCATATAAAATTGTACTTGGAGTTTGGAGTAATATTCTAAGAGCTGTATACCAGTCCTGGTACTCTGGGCAATAGTTTGCACATTTCTGAAAATGTTCTTATTTGTAACTGCTCAGCAGATTGTCAAAATAACCCACCACCATTCCATTTAATTATATTAGGAACTGTATCACTCTTTCACTCCCACCATTTTTTTTCCTTAAAAAGGGAATGCAAAATCAGTCTTCTCACTCATGGCTGGGAAGCAATAGTTTCTTCATTTTTCACTTCTTAACTGCTAGGATACATCCTAATCACTGCAATCCAGGTCACTGTGGCACCCGATTCTGTGATACACCAATGTGAGAAGAAGACTAAACAAATTCCTTGCAAGTTGTATGGCTATTATTGATTTTTAAACAGTGTAGGAGATCACTAATGGTCTTGTAAATTCTAATATCCAACTCTAGTTTATGTAATTGTTCATTCCCCAAACCTCTTTAGCCAGTTTTTGTTTGTTGGATTGATTTTTTTTTTCAGTGCTGGGGCTCAAGCTCAAGGCCTTTTGCTTGCAAGGTTATTGCTGTATCACTGAACATAATCTTGCACTTGTTTTTCTCAGCTACTTCTTATTCTGTTAAAAAAAAAAAAAAACATCATTTAACTGAAATGAATGCCCAGAATTTTCATCAGGATTCCTTAAATCCATTCTTCTATTAAAATATATTTCTATTGACTGAAATACATTAAAGTCAGACTTCATAAAGTAGATCTAATGAGTTAATTAGCATTTTCTTAGTTTTTTCAATCACAATGACAAATGCTCATCAGGGTAAAAAAGGCTAAGAGACACATTAAAGTACAAAAAAGGGAGGCAAAATGATCATTATATCGATTAGAAATATCTACCCTTGACATTGAGTGAATATCATCCCAAACATAAGGAATTAATTAGGATAGACTTGAGAAGTTATAGAAAGAAGTTTTATCATAAATGCTTCCACAAGAGTAACAAATGTAGCATTACCTGGATTTAACAGGGGAAAATATAGGAAAAGGAAAAAGTGGCAGACTTGCTGAATTTCAGGTGAATATTTCCTCAACATAAAGATGTAGCCTAAAATTTCCTTCTATGGTTAATAAAAGATAATGAAAACTAGCAGGAGGCCAAACTAAGAGACACTTGCTTCAACTCTGTGTATCAATCACACTACTGATATACTCTTTTCTATGAAAAATAAGGAAACTGGTTTTATGTTCCTTCTCCTTTCTCTAGATTTTGGTTACTTATTTAACATTCCGGAGTATGGCATTTACATTCTATTCTGAAACCATAATTCTCACATTTGTTTGGACTTAGTTCCAGATTTAAGGTAATTTAAATGAAGTCATTTGAATCACAAAGTTCTTCTGATGAAAGCAACAACTACATAAGTGGATCTATCATTAGTATCACTGTTTGCATTTTTTCAATGTGCATACCAACATGACCAAAGAAAATTAGGGTTTTGTTAGTGTGTGAGTTTTTAAAAACTTCTGATCCTCAGTTATGGATTTAGATTTAGGCTCATGTTGCATGTTAAAGCAAGTCATTATTAGGGCATTGTATTAATTTATGTAAAATTTGGAATACCTGACAAAATAATAAATAAGCCATGTTTCAGTAAAAATCATTGTCTTTCCATTCATTTTAATAGGGAGTTCATTAAATCACTGTTGAACAATACACTAGCTAAGTTTGACATATGTGTTAAAATATACATGTATATTATATATTACATACAATTGCATGAAGAATATTATATGTAACAAAATGATGCTTAAAAAGATTACATGTTTTTATATGAATTTAGTGGCTATATTACTTACTTTTATAAATGAAGTGCTACAATCTTAATTTATGTTCTCCCCAAGGCATTTTTCGATTTAGACTTGATTTTTTGATACATAATAAAATACTTTTATTTGCTCATGTTCACTCAAAAATTGTTTTACTGAAAGTCATCTCCATAACTTGTCACTTTCAGGTCAGTCATGTCAACTACACATAAAAAAATGCTACATTTAATACAAGAATAGAAAACATGCTGATTCAGTTGGACTGCTGGAAATCAGTTTTTTCGTAAAAATATATATCTTGTAGATATTGGGCATCTCGAAATTTCATTTCCCCAAAATATCTAAAGGGAAAATGAATGCAATTTTCAACATAGCAGGAACCCTAGTGACTACTGTAACTGTGCTATATTGGGGCGGTGCAAATTCGACTTTTTGTCTTATTTCCACTATACTAAAAACTTAATGAAACTGAAATTAGTAAATATCAACCTGATTCCTTGATTACTGCAGTAATTCTGGGAAATTCAGTGGCTCTACTTCTGCTAGTAGCATTCAGCATTTTCCACTAAGTGGTTTCTTTAATGACAGTGACGGCAAAAAAAAAAAAAGATAAAAAATACTTTTTGCCTCTATAATACTGTTTAATTTCCACAAACAGATAATAGCAATGCATGAGTTTCTAATTTGTGGATATTCAATTTTTATTAAATACTACCAGGATTTATGTGGTACTTGGTGGTGGGGGGGGACACCAATCTCAAGTCCCTGCCGATCTGAAGTTAACAGTACATACTTCTGATGTAGCCAGTCACTTCAAACTCCCTTCCCTGCAACGCCCCTTTTCTTCTCCATTATATTCTAAAGTGTTTTCTTTCTTTTTTTTTTTTTAAACTGCTAGTGGTATTAAACCCTTATGAGTATCAGCCTTCTCAATCTTTCATTTCTTTTTTCATTTCATCATTTGTTCCTAATGGGTAGCTGGATCTGGCCGAGGAGACCTGTTGCCGTAACTCTGGCCACGAATGAAGGTTCCTGGACCTTAGTTTCCTAAGGGGAAAGGTGAGCATTAGAAAGTCTCTCAAGTTCGCGCTCCAGAGTCTGAACAACAGAGCAGTTGGTCCCCTCAACGGGCGTTTGCGGTCTGAGGCCAGGTGTTCCAACACGCTCGCAGCACAAAGCCAAAGCCACCCTTTTCGTCCCCCACCTCCACCCCGCAAGCTAGCAGGATGTCCCCGCTCCCTCAAACTTTCTTTCTCCCAGAAATCACCAGCTATGTCTATGAGGTGTGATCTACCCCGGAAAAACAGACCCAGAAAGTACTCTCAACACTGGGTCCAAAGGCTCAGCCCTCACAGTCGCGGGGCTGGAAGCCAAAGGGGGCGCTGGAAGGCGCAGAAACTTACAGGAGAACCACCCTGGAGTTTAGCAGGGGCCAGAGACCTACACTAAAACGACAGGTGAGACAAATCGGTACCGCGAACACCTGGCGAACCCCTAAGGCACCGAGCATCGGCGGGGCGGAAGGGGTGGAGCCCAGGCTTCCGGGGCGTGGCCCAGCCGGGCTCAGGGGCAGGTCGGCCTGCTTCTTGGCGGCTCAGCCACCCATCCCTGGGCCAGCTCTCGTGGTTACCCTCGCTCAGCCAAGCAAGAGAAGCCGGAGAGGCCAGGGGCCCGGCGGTCGCAAACGTGTTCGAGCTCTCTACTCGGAATCCGTGGGCTGGGCCAGCTAGAGGCCAACTGTCCTTGCTTCAGCGACCCTCGCGTCTCCTAGCAACGCGAAGGCGCTGCTCCGGCGGTCACTCTTAAGCCCCGCCCCACCCTAGACGCCGCTCAGTTCCCTCAGGCCCCACCCCCTCTTTTTTTTTTTTTTTGGTACAGCAGAGTCCCATTTTCCAAACCAACGTCAATCCAGGATAGGAGCTTACTCCCGAGTCTTACTCCTACCTAGAGGTGGAAAGTGAAAGGTATTGATGTTTCTTAAATTCCAGACAGAATTCCTAAAAAAGTGAATCAGAGTATGGAGACCACTATGAACTAGTCCATGGAGTAGAATATAATGCCTGACAATTAGTAAACATGCAACAAATTATATCTATAGCTTTAATTCTTTTCTAACATTATCTTAATTATTATATTCAAAATACCATCTACACTAAAAGTAAGTTAGTGAAAGAAAGAAAATGTAAGATATACACGTTGAACATAGCACCTACATTTGTAACATAGAATAAATATTCACTCATAAATTGAAGTGTAAAAAAAAGAGGCAGTGGTGTACTAGAGTCAGCTCATTAGGGATCACAACAACCAAGAGTTAAAGTTTAGGAATTTTGTTAGCTAGTTGTTGAACACAGCCATGTTATTACAAATTAAATTACATAAACTTCAAATTAAAGGAACATATTAAACATAATTACTAAAAACTCAGTGTCTACACTTTGAGAAATACTATTCTAATCTTGCCTCCCACTCCTTGTTTAACTCAAGGCCAGGTTTCCCTCTGCTGCTCAAGTTCAAAATTTAAAAGGCTTAGCTTGGGGTACAGTTCCTTTATAGTCTGATTCCTACTTAGCTGGTTCAGTCGTCACTTCCCTTTTATGTCTCCATTATTTTGCCCCTTTTGAGCGCAAAACTTAGGTTAAACAGAACTAATTTCAGGGCTCAGATTGAGTAAAAGATTGTTCTAGGGACTTCAGCTATTCTTAGGTCTAAAAGCTAAATTCAAATTTACTTTCTCTACTAAGTTTTCTGATAGCCTCTTTCTCCTTGCAAAATTAAGATCCCCCATTTGTCCCAACACTATACCTTGGGAACACTTCCATTAAAATTCCTACCAAACTCTTGTATTTGTATATGTTTGTTCCCATGGGTTTCTCCTTCTGTGAGATTGTATTACAGGTCTTTATAGGCTATAACTGATTCCTTCATGTGCCTCCTGTTTCAGGCATGTGCCAGGTCCTTAATAGATGCCAAATGAATAATAATTCCTGAAATTTATTTAGAACTTACCATTACTCCAGGGATTGGACTTTTTTTATTACTTGTATCTTAATCTTACAGGTGAGAAAACCAAGTTTCAGAGAGGTTGGTTAACTTAGCCAAGATCGCAGTAATAGGAAGGACTCAGGCTGTAACCAGGGCCTCCACCGTCTAGTGACTAGACTCTGAGCCTCCTATCTGTTTATTTTGGAATGTTAACTTGAATGAATCCAAACATTTCTCTGCCTACTTCTAAACCCATTTTTCTTTCTTTTTATTAAAAAAGTAATAAATTTTGTATTTTACATTGCTTTTTCTTATGAGTTAAATTGTGCCCTTTTCAAATCCAAATGTTGACATCTGGACCCTCAGCACCTAAGAATATGTCAATTTTTGGAAGAGGGTCACAGGAGTTGTAATTATGCAAGATGATATCATACTAGGGTAGTGTGAACTCCTCCCTAATTCAACATGATTTGTGTCCTTTATAAAAGGGAGAAGTATGGACACAGGCATGCACATGGGGAGAAGCCCAGAAGAAGATACCTCAAAGACTGGGGTCATGCTTCTACATGAAAGGAACACTTTTTTCAAGTCAAGGAACACTAATGATTGACAGCTAACCACTAGAAACTATGGGAGGGGTATGGAACAGATTCTTCCTCATAGTCCTCTGAAGGAACCAACCTAATAGCTTGGTCTTGCACTTGTAGCCTGCAGAACTGAGATGATAAATTTCTGTTGTTTAAACCACCCAGTATGTGCTACTTGTTATGAAACCCTAGCAAACGAATACACTTTTTATATCTTATTGTATACTCCCTAGAATAACATAATATTCTATTCTAAAAGAATAGAATAAGACACAATAAATTATAATGAAAGTTATTTACATTGACAAAGATTTTTAAGTATATTAAATTAAGTAAAATATATTCTAATGTGACTTCCCAACAATGATATATCTATCTGAATGTATAATTATTTTTTTAATAATGGGGATTGAGTTCAGGGCCTCACACATGCTAAGCACATGTTCTACCATTGAGCAATACCCTCAGCCCTTCAATAATGAATTTTTAGGTTTTCAACATAAGCTTATTAGCAGTTTTCAGTCTTGTTGGGATAGAAAGAATCAAAGATGTAGAAATTGAAAGAGTTGAGAGATTTATGAAAGATGGAAATTTCCAACTAAGGAATGAGGATGCAGAAAACTGTAGGTGACAGTGTTTGCATCTCACAGCTTTGCTTTATTTTTTTAAACAAACATCCATTGGAGAAATTACTCTCAGGATTCAGCATCCAAACTTGGACTTCTTCTGAAAAAATTATTTATAATTTAAGAATGCCACAAACTAGGAAATTATTGTGTTTTCTTCTTTCCTTTGGCTTCTTAAATAGCCAAATCCAGGCCCTACTTTTCATATGAGTACTTGTGTGTGTGTATCCGTGGGCTGTGCTTAGCCATCTTCATTATTTGTCCCATCTTCATTATTTGTCCCTCTGCCTTGACTCTATTTCCCTATATTCTTTTGTATTGTATCCAATTGTGAAAAAAGGAGAGATAAATAAATGAGCAGATGAATAATAGTATGAGCGTTTTCCTGTCTTGACTTTCTAGAAGCTCCACATTCTTCAAGATTGGGTAGATATCAGACTCTCTACAGAATTCGTTGTTACATATCAACTACTTCACCAAAGCAATAGCCCTCCTTTATTCTAGGAAAAAACCATCTTATACCAAATCAAAGATGTTGCCAGTAGTAGTAGAGTGGTAGTCTATTTTACTTAAATTAGTGATTATGATGTTTATACCTCTCCACTCCACTGCTCTTTCTTACTTTCCCATTCCCTCTCCTCTTCATTGAGATTTCATGAGAATCTGTACATAAATAAAACTCTGAGTATCAGCTGAAGGATAAGCTGCTGTTCTCTAACTATGGCCCTCTGATTCCTGATTCCCCTGGTTAGAACTTCTTGTTTCTGGCTTTGTTCTCATATCATTTTGTGTCTCCGCAGAAGCTATGATTTACCATATTCTGCAAACAGGTGGTCTCCAAACTGATGGACCACTATTTGAAGGTACTTTTTAGCTAGCTATGTAGCCACCATAAAGTTTGTCACGGTGTCATTGTATAAGCAGGATTTTAAAAGTGTTCCAGTTTTTGTGATTAATAATAATACTGTGTTGTCTAGAGAAACTTGCTGGAGAGAGGCACAATAAATGCCATTGTGACTACATATTTGGTGGGTCTTAACACTTTAATAAGCCTCTTCAGAGCTTTCTCCATCATCCATCTGTATATTCTAACTTTCTAAAAATACAGCTTAAACAGGGGTAGGGGGAGGGGAGGAGGCTGGAGGAGGCTAGCAGATAAGACACTGTAGGGATCCCTACTTCTTTGCTCTAAGGGCATGCTTCTGAGCTGTGATTATTAGACATAGTTCTTCCCTAAACTTGTAGATCATGTATATATACACGGAGGAGCGAACGGCTAAGTATGGAATCTACCCTGAGTATGAAATTTTCTTATGGGTCCTCATGGCTATAGAAATTCCGAGGAGAAAAACAAGCTTGGTTTTTGAAAGACAAGAAAAGGAACGCAGTCAGATTTAGAGCCACTCCGCAGCCCACTTCACAGGAATGCTACTCTTTGTTCCAGGCCCTTGATCCCACCGGGTTGGGAGACCCCACTCTAGGTAAAGCCACAAGCTCACTGTCTGCAGCTCAGCCCCGACATTTAAACCTGAGGCCCAGGCTGCGGGAACCTATGGACGCTCCTTGGCACCGCCCTCAGCCGCTAGGCTCCTCTGATTGGTCGTGGCTGCATTCGGCCGACCAATGGCGAGGCGGTGTAAAGGTTCCCGGAAGTGGCGGTCGGATCTGTGTCAGCCTCGGCTTTCGCTGCGGGCTCGGGGTTCAGTGCTCTGCGGCGCTATGAGTTCCTTTGAGGGACAGATGGCTGAGTATCCCACCATTTCCATTGACCGCTTCGACAGAGAGAACCTGAAAGCCCGAGCTTACTTTCTGTCCCACTGCCACAAGGGTGAGTGAGACCTGCGCCCCCCACTTCCGGGATGTACGGTGCTGGGAGTGACAATGGCAGAGGGGACGGGGCCCTGGAGCTACAGACGTGAGGTTGTGGGAGGCCAGCCAGGGACTGGAAAGCGCACATGCCCCAGTCGGCTCTTCGCCTAACACTTTATTCCTAGATCTGACAACCTGGAGTAACAGTGACTGCCAGTTGCGCACAGTGACACTGGCCAGTGTGGTAGGTCACTGAGTTATTTTGGTCGCTGTCCTAGTGGCGGCTAGTCAGATGTTGTCGAGGTTTAGTTCGTTCTTCCTCTCTGTTTCTCCACCCACTTCTCTTTACCATGTGTAAAGAAAACAAGTTTCAGATCAACTTCTTTTATACCCACCAACAGTAGTTAGCCAACATCTATGCGCACACCTGATCAAGTTGAACAACGTGTCGTAAGCTATACCAAGTGCAAGCTACCCCTCTTTTCAGATATTCTGTCCACATTTAACATGAGCGATCCATTCTAGTCTAGGATGGCAGGATTTTCCTTCTAGAAGGCATCAGGCACCCAGAACTCTACAGTTCTACAGCTGGACATATTCAGGGATGCAGTTTAGAGTATCATATTTCATGATACTGACCCGAGGCTAGATGCTCCAGGAAGAAGCCAATGTACATTTTTAACATCTTTTTGCTGACTCGCAAGTCAGCAAATTAATTAATTTGCTACTTAATTAATTTGCAGCACTGAGGTAAACCTAAGCCCTCCAGCAGCTGCTCTTCCAGTGCCAGCTTCTGGATTAGCTATGGAGGAGTGAATCAAGAGTAACAAATTCATGCATACATATCATAGTGCAAAAGAATTTTAAAGCAAATTATGGATGTAGAAATTGCCTTTCCTCATGCAGTTGGTGTGAAGACCAACTATTGTCTTGAATGTGGAATCAATCACTTTAACCTGATCTATATTGTTGACATTACTGCTTTTGGGAAATGCCTCTGTTTCTTTCAGTGATTTCTCTTTAATGAGGAAAACTTGGACCTCCCCTTTTGATTAGCTATTACTATACCCTGAGAGTCTGTTTATTCTTGAGAACATAATTTTGGTTTTGTTTTTCATTGAGAAGCCACTGCTTGATGAGAATGCTCATATTTTTACTCGTTGGAGACTCTGAACTCAAAATGTGATCACCTTCCTTTGACTGAATTAAAATTAGTAGAGTTTATTTGAGCAAAGAAAAACAAAATACAATTTGTGAATCAGGAAGCTTCCAGAACCACCGCAGGCTCTGAAAACAGCTAACAGTATGATCTGACAATATTACAGAATAGTGGTCAGGCCTAGAAAACAACTTAATTGGCTACAGTGTAGATAATGAGCCATTCAATTGGTTACAGCTTAATTAGTTGATTACAGGACCTTTTGCAGCCAACCAAAGCTCAGTTACTGTGATTAAACTATATTGGTTTGATTTGTTGTAGCTTAGTGCAAGAGCCTAGTTCAAATCAATGGCCTCCTACAAAATTTAGTAACAGCAGTAATTAAAGTTTATTTAGGAACTTGCCCTTCCTGTTTAGGATTAATGAGTTTGAATTCATCTAAAGGAATTTGTGAGATCACCATCATGTATTTGCACATTAAATAAGAAATTGAATTTCCTTACTCTGGAGCAGTTTATAATAATTTTTCCTTTTCTCTAATCACATGTGAATTTATTTATGCAAACTCAACATGGGCAAGAACTCAACTTCTGCTTTTGGAGTCTCCCACATTGCTTACTGGTATTTTTTAACCTTTTGGAGGCATAGGCTTCTTTGACCATGCTATACACTCACTGCCCCAAATCAAATATGTTGAAGTCCTAAGCCAGTGTAATAATATTTGAGGCTAGGTCCTAAAAAAGAAGATAATCAAGGCTAATGGGAGAGGTGGGTGTGGTGGCTCTTGAAAGGAAAGTGACCACAACACTCGGAGTGACCAAGAGAGCTTTATTGCAGCAGTGCAAAAGAGGAGAAGAGAGAGAGAGAAAAAAAGAGAGAGAGAGAGGAAAGAGGAAAGAGAAGAGATGGAGGGGGAGAGAGCGAGAGCGAGAGCAAAAGAGAGAGAAAACAAGAGAGGGGCCTGGCAGGAGGGGAGTTTTTACAGCCAAAATCTAACGGGGTCTCTGGGTCTGCAAGTTGCCTTGTTGGCACAAGTGGGGGTTAAGAGTTCAGCCTTGAGCGGGGACTTGGGCCTTTGGGCTTAAAGCAAGCAGGTGATAAAGAACCAGACAGAGGGTTTGAGAAGCCAGGTCATCCTGCAGCTAACTTTGTTTGGCATGCCCTGCAGACAACTTAATTCAGCCTGTCCTGTACCTAACAGCTCACACCTGTAATTCCAGAACTTAGGAGGATAAGGCAGGAGGATTGCAAGTTTGAGGCTACCCTCAGCAACTTTGCAATGCCTTGTCTCAAAATGAAAAACTCAGTTTTTTTTATTTTGGTAAAACACCCTGGGCTTAATCCCCAGTAAAAGAGGAAGAGGGCTCTCTCTTTACAGAAGCACACAATGGGAAGGCAGCTCTAGGAAAAGAGGCCTCATCAGAAACCAAATTGGCCAACATCTTGATCTTGAATTTCCCATCTTTCTGAATTGTGAGAGATAAAAGTGTGTTATTTAAACCTCCCAGTTTATGGCATTTTATTATGGAAACCCGAACCGACTAATGTAGAATACCTAATGATAGGGTATTCTCTAGAAAAAAAATAGACAGAAATACATTAACATTATAATATGATTAAAGTGGGTCATGGACCCATCTGGAGTCCAACTCCGTGCTCAGGGTAGGATTTACGGAGCATCAGTCAGGTTCAGAGTATAAGAGAGCACTCATGGCTTGAGAGTGGCCCAAGGTTGGAGAAGATCTTTTGAAGGGGCAACTTAAGATGATTTTTTTCTTGTCAAGGAAAAGAAAACCACTCTGGAAAGTAGACTCTGGATGCAGTCAAGGAAACTCACCCAGGTTCTCTTGACTACCAATTAGGAAGGGCCTGTGGGTGGTGGGGATGGAGGTCATGATACAAAGGCACAGGGTACTGCCTGCTGCATTAGTTTGAGAGAATGGTGTACAGAGTTTGGTTTCAGCCTCCTTTCTGCTGGGACACAAGTTCTTGGAAACCTTTGGAACATACCCATAAGTCCTAAACAGCTGGACCAGCTGCAACCTGAAGGGACCCACTTTCTTAGGGAACAGGTGATTTGTCCTGGAGGGGCATGTGTCCCATGAAGTATGACTACTTTGTTTTCTCTGGATTCACAGATCCCCAATTATAAACCAAAGTCTTGTGTGTATGTGGTAGTAGTGATAATCAAAAGATTAGAAATAGTTCGATGTAAACAATTAGAAGTGCTTAGACATTATTATTATTCAGGCCTTTATACACTGAAGAGTCACAGTATATTAGAATGCACTCTGTGGTAATGTACTCTTTGGTATAATTGTTAGCTTTCTTGCATGTTATCTTTCTGTGTTGGTTAACTTGGAGGGCTGTAGAGCAAGTCTGTGTGGCTAGTAATGTCCCTCCTTTCAATCCAGCAGTCACACTGGGCTGAGCAAATGATGAAACACGGCTGTTGAGCTGTGGCTCAGGCCCAGGAAAGAAGGTTTCGGTCTCAGGTGGTTAAAAGAAGATGCCAGGCATAGTCGGGATAGTAGACGTGCTTTATTCAGAGGTGGCAGCAGCCCCTAGCCCCCTGAGTGTTCTCATAGGCCTTTTTTATATACAGGCTACATAAAGAAGGCACATTGCCAACAGGTTACATAAGTGGGTGCATGCTCAAGGCACATGTTTATGACCTTGATTGCATACACTGAATCAGGGTGTTCATGCTTTGGCTATGTACAAAAAATACAACCTGCAGGAAGCCTTGGTGAGGAGCCCATCTATAGCTATCTTGGGCCTGCCCTACAGCTGCTGATTCTGGCTTCAGCCTGAATGACATCCTAGTGGAGTCCAGCGGACACAAGCTTCAACTTCTGGATGGACCAACTTAAGTGGTGGGAGTTGAATGGGTCACACTATAGGAAGCCCAAAGAATGTTTGGGTTGAGGACGAGAGTGAAGGGAAGTTCTAGAAGCAATTATCCATCCAGTGGTTCCTCAGGGAGGTTTAGACTCTGCCCAAGGTGCTGGGGGTCACTTTCCTTTTAAATTACTTTTGATGGCTCAGGGTTGGGCAACTTTTAGTAGTTCCTATTCTTTTCTCAGGGATTCCTCATCTGCAGAAGAAAGGGTTCACAGCCCACCTAAATCAATCTCTTATAAAAGTTTACCTCATGTTTTCTCTTAACAGGAAGCATCACAAGATGACTCAGTTTCTTTGGGCTACGGAATTCTGTGGAAAATAAAAAACATGTTTATGATTTTTGTTCTCCTATTTTTAGATCACATGAAAGGATTAAGGGCCCCTACCTTGAAAAGAAGATTAGAGTGCAGGTGATTTCTTTTACTACATATTTGTGTGTGTGTGTGTGTGTGTGTGTGTGTGTGTGTGTGTTTAAGAAAACATTTTAATTGGGAAATAACATCTAGACAGAAAAGTGCATACATAAGAAAGGGACAGACTGAACTTTTACGGAGTGAACACATCTACCCAGATCAAGAAATTGAACACTATCCTAGACCCCCCTGTCTCCTCCTGGTTCTTTCTCCTCCCAGAGGTAACCCCTATTACTCTTGTCATCATGGGTTAACTTTGGCTGTTTCTGAACTTTGTATAAATAGTCATACTGAATAGACTCTTATGTTTTTCTTTGATTTAACATTATATTTGTGAGATTCATCCATGCTACTGGTAATAACAATAACATTTGTCTTCATTTCTGTGTGTTTGTGTGTGAATGTTCTTATAATAATCTTTGGATATGTTCTTTTTGTGATACCAGGGATTGAACCCAGTTGTGCTTAACCACTGAGCCACATCACCATCCCTTTAAATTTTTTATTTTGAGACATTGCCTTGCTAAGTTGCTAAGGCTGGCTTTGAACTTGTGATCCTCCTACCTCAGCCACTGGAGCTGCTGGGATTATAGGCATGCACCACTGCACCTAGCTGGATCCTTTTTGTTTTGTTTAGTTTAGTTTGTTAGTTTTGTACTAGGGATTGAATCCAGGGGCACTTAACCACTGAGACACATCCCCAGCCCTTTTTATTTATTATTTTGAGACAAGGTCTCACTAGGTTGCATACAGCCTTGCTAAAAGTTGCTGAGGCTGGCTTCAAACCTGCAATCCTGCCTCAACCTCCCAAGCTGCTGGATTACAGGCCATCATGCCTGGCTTGGATCTATTGTTAAAGGTGAACTATTGGACTCTTCCTGAAGCCATTACTTAAATCTAAATTCCAAATTCTCAAGATACATATTTGGAAAAGGCCCTTTGATTTTTAAACCAGTGGCTGTTAGGCTTCTCTGCTATCAAATAGCAATAATTTGTGTTCTTGAGAAAGATAATTAATATTTCTTGAAAACTTACTGTATTCAAGGCACTATGAATTTTTTCAGGAATTTTTTTTTTGAGTGCCTGCGATGAGCCAGGCATGGTGCTGAAGGTTGAGAATATAGTGGTGAGTGACACTGATGAAAATCCCTGTCTTCTTGGAACTGACATTCTCATTAAAGCCTCTTGATAATCTTTTAGATAGATACTATTATGATTTATATTTTACAGATGAGAAAACTGAGGAGCTAGAGAGGTTCAATTAGTTGCCCAAAGTCATGCAGCTAGTAAGTGGCAGGACTAGGATTTCAACCAGGTTTGTCTGATTTCAGAGCCTATATATCAGCTATCCATTGCTGCATAACAAATTGCCTCAAAACTGAGTGACTTTAAGAATAGTAATCATGTTTAACACCTCAGTTTCTGTGGGTTAAGAATTGTAAGAAAGTACAAGGGGAATGACTGGTTTCTGCCTGCCTCGTGGCAGATGGGACTGATATTATCTAAAAAGTCAGTGCTAACACCTTGACTAGGAAGACTCAAATAGCAACAGCAAAGGCCAGAACTTCTGGGTCTCTCTGGGCATCTCTCTCTCCAAGCTCTTTTGCCTGGTAGTTTGGGATATCTGGACTACTTAATGGAGACAGTCAAAAAGTGTATGTCCTAAGGTCTGGAGGGAACCGTATGCCGGAGAGCTAGCTCAAAAGTCATGCAATTACTTCCATCATATTCTGTGGTTAAGGCCGTTACAAAGGCCTACCCAGGTTCAAGGTGAGGGAACACAACTCCTTCCTCCAAATAGAAGAATTTTGATAACTGGTTTTGTAAGAAGAATATGTGTGCAGGGGTTTATAGTAGTGTGGCCATCTTTAGAAAGTAATCTGCCATGGAGTATATTCCTAATCTTTAAACTACACTATTGAATTTTTCAAGTTTATTACAAAATTAATTTCTATTCACTGAAAAAGTAAATACCGGGCAATGGGTATAGCTCAATGGTAGAGTACTTTCCCAGCATGCAAAAGGCTTGATACCCAGCACTACAAAAGATAAAAATAAATACAGTAGATCAGCCTGAAGTTAAAAAAAAGCTTAACATTTAGCAGTATCTTTCCAGATATACCTGATCATGTACACAATTTCTTTTTTTTCAGTGCTGGGGATTGGACCCTGAGCCTCACACATATGAGGCATGTGTTTTATCTATATCCTGAGCCCCCTGGTGTGTATTTGTAATATAAGAGTGATGACGGACTTCTTTTTTAAATTATTTTCTTATAGTTGATTCATCAATCTTTTCCATTATGGCATTGGCTTTTAAGGTAAATGTTTAGAAAAACTTCCCTATTCAATATAGTAAAAGCATTCTATTTTATTTCATGTATTTGATGTTTATATCCAACCATGAAATTAGTTTCTTTCTTTTTTTTCTTTTGCAGTACTAGGGATTGAACCCAAGGCCTTGTACATACTAGGCAAATGCTCTACCACTGAGCTACATCCACCAGCCTCTTTTATTTTTTATTTTGAGACAGGATCCTACTAAGTTTCCCAGGCTGTCCTTGAGTTTGAAATCCTCCTGCCTCAGCCTCCTAGTTACTGGGTTTTCAGGTGTGCACCACTGTGTGACTTGGTGAAGGACTTGGGGATCCGAGGGCAAAGCACTTTCCCCTCTTATGCTCTGGGTGGAACTGAAATAGTCATTGGGCATTGGTATGTTGGGAGCTTCTCTAAGGTTTTCAGAGAAGATTGAAGCTGGACAAAGTACAGTTCCTGGTTCCAGGGTGCTCATTTTGGAATGTACTAAAACACCTGTTTTGTTTTGTTTTTTTTTCTCTTTGTCTTTTCCTTTCAGCTTGAAGGTTTACCTGTACTGTTCTCCTGTTACTAAGGAGTTATTGTTAACTAGCCCGAAATATAGATTTTGGGAGAAACGAATTGTAAGTTTCATTTTTTGAATAACATTGATTCTTTGTGTAAGTTGGAAATATTTTTAGAGGTAGATTGAAAATATTATTAAAATTATTCAAAGCCTAATTTCTCACACACTGTAATTGTATACATTAGTTAGAATATTGCTATTTACTCTTCTATAATACAGCAGTCTGAGAGGTCATCATTTTGTTAATTTTTGTTGTTTTTCCTCGAGAGTTTGATCTAGGTCTTCAGTTTGATTTATTTAATCTCACTGACTTTAGCTAAAGTGCATTGTAATTTTTTTGGAGGCAGGGTGCTAGGGCCTCCCACTTGCTAGGTGAGTGCTCTACCACTAAGTTACACCCCAGCTCTTCTTAATTTGAAGTAGGTTTTTTTTTTTTTTTTTTTAAGTTGCCTAGGTTAACCTCTAACTTGTGATCCTCCTACCTGAGCCTCTCAGGTAGATGGAATTACAGGTGTACACCACTGTGCCCAGCTTGCATTGTAATATTTTAAAGTAAGATGTTCATTGGCATAATTGCTAAGTTTTTTTGTTTATTTGTTTTATTTTGTTTTTGAGATGGGGGTCTCAAACTTTGTCTATGTTGCTGGCCAGGTTGGTCTTGAACTCATGGGCTCAAGTGATCCTTCTATCTCAGCCTCCCATATAGCTGGGACTGTAGGTGTACACTATGTCTGACTGCTAAGTCTTTTTATTTAGATCATGAGCTAGATTAGAAAAAATAAACACAGTTTATGAGTTATAATAAGAAAGGGATAATAAGCATAATAATAATAGAACGGATAACCTTCCATGTGGCAGAATAAAATGGTTCTCTCCAATGTAAGATAGTAAAGGGGAGAAAGCCAAATACAAATCTGATGCATAAAAAATGAGGAAAAAGCCTAGTATCACAATAATTATTATAAATGTAAATGGATTTAATTCAGTTCTTGACCAAAATATAGATCCTCATTTTAGGTTAAAAAATAAGAAAGATCTGCAAAAGACATAGATAAAAGGATAAATAAGGATTGACATTTGAAAACAAAAACAATACAGAGAAGTGGGAAGATGTAACAAACAAGAAGCCAAACATACAAGAGTAGAAATTTTTATATCACACAAATTAGAACTGAAGGCCAAAACAAAAATACTGTAAGATTCAGGGAGGATGTCATTTACTGTTACAAGGGAAAATGGACCAAGAAGATACGAACATATACACAGTTGATATGAGTCTCCATCTCCATAAATATCTGCAGACCCTATCTCACCCAATGCAGGATCAGAGAAGGAGGACCCCCGTAAGTGAATCAAATTAGGGCTTATTATGTGGTCTAGGCCTCACTGCATTGTGGGAGGTGGCTCAAAAATCAGCCTAAGTGTCATGAGAAGTCAGTTTGATATCTGACTGATGATAGCTTTCAAGTCCTGCCTCCTTTCTCTTTGCCCTACATTTGGGTGAGTTTAGTGGGAAGCCTAACCACATCTTGACACCAATGTGAAGTTCAAACAAAACAAGCTCAGGCCTACCTACCCCTTTACCACAATAAAAACCTACTTACAGGGGCTGGGCTTATAGTTCAGTCTTAGAGTGCTTGCCTTACACACTTGAGGCCCTGGGTTCCATCCCCAGCATTTCGAAGGGGCAGGAGAGAACAAACTATTCTCAGTAGAGTATCTATAGTCTACAACATTCATGATATATTTCAAAATCACTAGAAGAGTCTGAAGGATCTCAATACAGTAATGATTAACATTTGAGGAAATTAAAATTCTAATAATCCTAATTTGATCAATACACTGTATACATGTATTAAATTATTGTATTGTACCCCATAAATATATAAAATATTATTTGTTGATAAAAACAAAACAGCGCACAAACCTACTCTGTCTTAAGCCACGTAGCCCCTTCCATCCCAACCTGGGTGTTGTGCTGCTCTTCCCAGAAAGTGTGGTCTTACAAGGAACACATTTTTCTCATATACTCTTGGTGTATGTGACGTCATTAGTTTCAACACTGATCAATTGGGAGTTAAGTCCTCCTCCCTTCTGCAGAGCAGCTTCAGCAGAGCATTTGCCTCTTATATTAGACCAGCAGTTGTTATGGGTCTGTCCTGCCAGTGATTAGGAAAGGAGAGCAGAGACAAGCTGGAATCCACAAAGACAAACTAGAAATGGGGAGGGTAAACAGGTCCCCAACTGTCACTCACTTCTTCCAACCTTGATAATGCTGGTCACTCACCCACTTTGGCATTGTATGTGAGTTGCATGCACATCTGGCCCAGCACTCAGGAAATGCAGGCAGGTACCCAGTAGAAATTAGTGTGGTTTGCAGTTCTGCCCTTCACCCATGAGTTAAGCCAGATCAGCAGTTAAAACTTCTGGTACTCTTTAGAGCATTAAAAAAAAAAAAAGGATGTGGTTCACTTCCATCTTTCAGTTATTTACTTACTTACTTATTTATTTATGTGTGGCCAGCCCTAACATGGAAATGACTTCTGGAAAATAGTTTTCAGCTTAGATGTGTTGGCATAGTACAAAGCTTCAAAATATAAGGAGAAACAGGCAACCAACAGTTGCTACTAAAGAGCTTAATATACCCTTCTCAGATATTTAAAGACAGGCTGAAATTAGGTGAAGATACAGAAACATTAAATGACATAATAAATGTGAACCAATTAAAAACATAGAATAATAACAAAACATGGCTTTTAACCCAACATAGAAAATAGTATTTGGGGGACATCTATAGAACATTTAAAAAATTTGGTTATGTACTGCATCACAAAAGAAGTCTTAAGGTTTCCTGGTGCCCTGTGTTTTCTGACTGTAATGCAACGATTTGAAGGATCAGAAATAAATGGACAGCTAAAGTCATTCTACACATATGAAAATCAAATGCATACAGTAAATAATCGTAGGTTGGAGTTGAAATTGTAAAAACAACATAATATAAAAAGTACCAAGTTGAGAGAAGAAAAGTTGGAAACTAGAATAAATCAAACTTAAACAATTATCAAAGATTTCTTCTTCAAAAAAGCCCAAGCCCAGATGGTTTTATGGTTGCATTTTACCAAATGTTCCAAGAAAAAAACAATCCCATGTTAGATGAGTTACTGTAAGAAATAAAAGATAATTCCCCTTCTCCCTCCCTTTCCCTCCCGAATAGCAAAGATGGTGGAAGGAGACGGTCATCATTATACAAAATACATGTATGAAGATTTCTTAAACCACATTTAAAAAAATAAAATACAGATATTGCATCCACCTATAACTAAAAAATAAATATTTTTTAAAAATACTCCAAATGGGAAGGGATGGAGGAGGAAAAATGAATTCAGTGGAAGTAGAATTGCCATGTTGCAGGATATGTATATACACACATTTATAAGGCATTTAATACATAGTCAAACCCACCTTAATAAGGGTACCATTTGTATTTTATAATTTTTTCAAATGATTGAAATATTTATTATAGTGCAATAGAAATTGTTACTACAGAGTCTGGAACTCATTCACATAGTTCCCTTTCAGTATTTGAGATGACCAAGGCATGGAAAACTGATATACGTGTTCTCTTACTTTATTTTAATAGATATCAATTGAAATTGAAACTCCTACCCAGATATCTTTAGTTGATGAAGCATCAGGCGAGGTAACTAAATATTAAATACTATGATAAGATGATTGTTTATCCTGGCTTTTGAATGTTTGTTTAATCATAATTTATAAATATTTATAAATCAAAATTTATTAATTAGTTTTTAGAGAAAACAACCAAACCACTTGTGGTTGTCTTGTCTATTTGGGCTCCTATCACAAAAATACTGTAGACTGGGTGTTTAAAACAACAGAGACTTATCTCTCATAGTTCTGGAGAGGCTCAAGTGGATTTGGTGTCTGGTGAGGGCCTGCTTTTTGGTTCCGCTAAAAGGGTAAAAATCTCCCTTTTAAAGAGCACTATCGAATTCATGGATGCTCCACCCTCAAGAACTAATCACCTCCCCAAAACCTCCTATAAAAATCACTTTAGTGGGTTAGACTTTCAGCCTATGGATTTTGTGGGGACACAAATATTCAGTCCATGATAGTGACGTATTTATTTCTCACATTGAAATGATTAGATATTTTTTGTTAAAATTGCTCCTTTTTAGTATTTGTACTAACAATGAGAACAACAGTTATTGATAATAATTCTACCTGATATCTTGCTAAGTTTATTAATTTATTATAATTTTCAGGATCTAAAATGGCGATTAATACTTTTTTTTTTCTGAGAGAGACAGAGAGAGAATTTTTTTAATATTTATTTTTTAGTTTTCGGCGGACACAACATCTTTGTTTTGTATGTGGTGCTGAGGATCGAACCCGGGCCGCACACATGCCAGGCGAGCACGCTACTGCTTGAGCCACATCCCCAGCCCGCGATTAATACTTTTGAAGCAAATTTATATACGTTACAAATTTTTTCCTGAATCATTTTTGCATTTTTAAAAAGATATCACTGCCCAAGTGGATCAATCTTTAAATTCAGAAGTAGTACTTTGTGAGTGTATAGTTTTAATAGTAAACAGAACTATGGGCCTACTTTTTAAAAAACAAAATGAGACCCTTAAATTATCCATAGGGCTAGGAGGAATTTTCCTATTTTATGGCAAATCTAGTTAGTATTTCTGTAGTGTGCTCATAACATGTCAATTTGACATGTTTAACTCTGAGGATGTTAACTCTGGGAATATGATCAGAACAAAGATGACTTTTTCAAATGTACATTCGGAGAAGATCAGATAGTTGAAGTCTGCTGTCCTGGGCCCACTTAGTTAAATGGTTCTGGAGAATATAATTGGTGTTTGGCTTTGTCACATACAGGTGTATTGGTAAAAGGCTTTCTCAAAACTGGGCAGCAAATGGTAGTCAGGCTCTTGGTAGGCAGATTCTTGCTGTCCTGCCCTGATCCTTTGTTTCCTGTTGTGCCATGTGGCTTTTGTGCATTATCCTGCCACAGCCAATGGGAGATGCCATTTGCCTTCAGAATGAAGAATGTTAGACTTGATGAAAGGAGTCACCTTACAGAGCAAGAAGCTGGTGAGAACAGAGCTCTGCTCCTGCTTACTTATGGTTGGAGAGTCAGCCATGCCCAACAGGCTCTGTCCTAAAGGGATAGAGTGATGTGTGGTGAATTGGGAGGAGGCTGCATTGATTTTTTTTTTTTTTGACAGATTTATTGAGCAATCTGCTAGCCACATAGGTCACTCATTTAAAGTATACAACTCAGTAGCTTTTAATATATTCACAGACCTGTGTATCCATCATCATAATCAACTTTAGAATATTTTTATCACCCAAAAGAGAAACTCTATACCTGTTGTAGTCACTCTCCATTGTCTCCTGTCCCTCCCCAGCTGCTGATTACCAGTCTGTCGATGGACTTGGCCTGTTCTGGAAATTTCATATCAGTGGACTCATATAGCACATGGTCCTTCGTGTCTGGCTTCTTCCCTGAATATAATGTTTTCTTTTCTGTTTCTTTGTTTTGTCTTTTAGTTTTTTGGTTCTGGTGATTGAACCCAGGGATGCTTTACATTGAGCTACATCCCCAGCCCTTTTGCTCTTTTAAATTTTTTGTTTTGAAACGGAGTCTCACTAAGTTGCTTAGGGCCTCACTAAGTTGCTGAGGTTGGCCTCAAACTTGTGATTCTCCTGCCTCAGCCTCCTGAGTTGCTGGAAATACAGGTGTGCTCCACTCCCGGTTCTGAACATGTTTTCAAGGGGATCTACGTGTATGAACGTGGCATGTGTTGTACATGTAGCATATGTCAGCACTTCATTCCTTGTGTAGCTAAATAACATTCCATTGTATAGACAGACCATATTTTATTTATCCATTCATCAGCTGATAGACATTTGGACTGTTTCTACTTTTTGGCTAGTGTGAATAATTATGCTGTGAATATGAATGTACAGTTTTTTGTGTGGACATAATTTTTCAGTTTTCTTGAGTATATAACTAGAAGTAGAATTGCTAAGTCCCGTGGTAACTCTTGTGTTTATCTGTTGAACAATTGAGGATCTATTCCAGGATTTGGAAAGGGGAGAAAAGGCACATTCTTGAGAGCTGTTTGCTTTATTTAGCTAGGTCCCAGTGATAACTTTTGTTGTTATTTCTTCTTCATTTTCTTTTTAGAAGGAAGAGATTGTTGTGACTCTTTTACCAGCTGGTCACTGCCCAGGATCAGTTATGTAAGGGACTCATCTATTTGCCGTCTTACTGTATGTAATATGTATTGTGTTATGGAAATACATTTTTTAGAGTCAAAAAATAATATGTATAGGAAATCTGATTATTTTTCTGGCAGTGTTTTTACTTTGTTTCCAAATTGAATTTGAGAAATTGAGGTTAGGATCAGATTTGACATCTGTCTTTCTTATAATGGAGGTCTTCAAAGTGACTTTACATTGTCTTATCACATGGGTTTTTGCCTCTATGAACAGAAATGATCTTGACATAAACTTTAGAGTGCTAACATATCATAATAGGCTGCACCTATTATGAGCTCAATTAGTATCTGCATTCTATTATTTCATTCTTCCAGGGAAGAGGTAGTAGTTAAGTGCCAGATGTGGACTTGGAGCTATTGAAATTTCATTAATATTGTAACATAAAGGATATATTTAGCAGGAAGCATCGCTATAGATTTAGCATGTATTTGCTTTATTAAGACTTGGTCTGAAACTCAGAAGTCATTGAGATACATTTGCTTTTCAGGTTTTTATTTCAGGGCAATAATGGAACTGTCTTGTACACAGGAGACTTTAGACTGGCGAAAGGAGAAGCTGCCAGAATGGAGCTTCTGCACTCTGGAGGCAGGTAGGTGTGGGCCTTGTACAATTCTTGAAGGTAAGGCTACATAGTTTAAAAAGCATTCTTGCTCTCTTCCCACTAAACACAAGTCTTTGTATTAGAAATAAGACTTGATTATAATAATTACAATAGTAAAGCAAATTAGCTGGGCACAATGGCACACGCCTGTAATCCCAGCAACTCAGGAGGCTGAGGCAGGAGGATAGCGAGTTCAAAACCAGTCTCAACAATTTAAAGAGGCTCTAAGTAATTCAGAGAGATTCTGTCTGTTAATAAAGTATACAAAAAAGGGCTGGGGGTGTGTCTCAGTGGTTAAGCACCCCTTGGTTCATCCATGGTACACCCCCTACCCGCGCAAAAAAAAAAAAAGAATAGTAGAGCAAATTTTCTTCCTTGAAATGGGGTAATAGAATGTTCTAAATGTTTTGTTGTTGTTGTTGGGTTTTTTTGCTAATAGTCATATAAGCTTATCAAAATTCACTGGATCCTTCACACAAACTCTCTATTTTATTGTATAGAAATAGTTTCCCAAGAAAGTTGATTAACAAAAAAAATTTCAGATGGAGTGAAAAACCCTATAAAATAAAGTGTAAATTGCTCACATGATTTGTGTCACATTAGGCAGCTAACACCATTTTTTTTTTTCTGTTTTTAGAGTAAAAGACATCCAAAGTGTATATTTAGATACTACTTTCTGCGATCCAAGGTTTTACCAAATTCCAAGTCGTGTAAGTCTGCTTGGAGAAGTGGGGCAATGACGTGGGCGTGGCCATGTGCCTGGTAGAAAGTGTATAGGATGACAGTGAGGCCATAATTGTCCCCCATGGCTCAGATACCTTCAAGTGTGGGGATGAAAGGGGTAAGTGAGGCTCTTATGAGTGTTAAATGTCCTTTACGAATCCTGTCTAGGGAGAGTGTTTAAGTGGAATTTTAGAGCTGGTTCGAAGCTGGATCACTCGGAGCCCGTACCATGTTGTGTGGCTGAACTGCAAAGCAGCTTACGGCTATGAATATTTGTTCACCAATCTTAGTGAAGAGTTGGGAGTCCAGGTACTGTGTTTGCTCTTTTCACCTGCTCCCTTTTACCCACCCCATTCACCTCTCCTTCCCCTCCCCACCCCCAAATAATGGAAAACAGTGACAGATAGCTTATCAAAACATGGCTACAAGCAGAGATTGGTGGCTTCTCTAAAGTCATAGATCATCTTTGTTAATGATGTCCTCATGGGAGGAAATTGGTGGAAACCTGAATGGTATAGAAGGGTCTTAAGCAAAATACGCCACAGAGGAAGTATTATTCCCAAACTGTAGGTCATGAAATAATTGAAACTCATATTAGAAATAAATTTGGACAAGGAGATATCTGAGTGTATTGCTTGCAGCCAAGTGATCATTTTATGAAAATTTACTTAGGTCCTCAGACACAAACATACATGCATATTTTATATAGGTGTGCTGAGTTGCTATGGAAATATATTTTCTTTTGTTGGTCATAGTCAACAGTGAATGAAGAACATTGTCCTGGAGAATTGGTGCCTTCGCTTCATTGACAGATCAGTATCAGATTGAGAGGGAGTTTTCACCTGTCCCTTCCAGATAGTTCTTTCCAGCTGCTCAGTGCTGGGCTCTCAGAACCAGAGCAGTAGAGCCCAGAATATGTGTGGATGACTATCAGCAAGGAGCTCCTACCTTCAGGGCTTACCTGAAGAGAGTGTCTTGAGCTCTCGTCTCTTAAGAGAAAATAGATATTTGATCACGACTGAACAAAATGATGTACTGGGACTAGTTGGCCATTTAAATTCTGTTTGATTTTGTACCTTTTAATATAGATCTCCAAACAAACTTGTGACAAGAACTACAAGTTACATATAATGTACTTTAGTGAAGTTAAAATGATCTTGCTTTTCTGCATTTGAAATTTCAAAAACTTTTTTTTTTTTTTTTGTACTGGGGATTGAACCTGGTAGCACTTGGCCATTGAGCCACATCCCCAGCGCTTTTAATGTCTTATTTTGAGACAGGTCTTGTTAAGTTGCCTAGGCTGGTTTTGAACTTGCAGTCTTCCTGCCTTAGTCTTCCAAACTACTGTACCACTGCACCCAGCTAAATTCCTCCTTTACTTCTCAAGTCAAGGTCTTTCCTTCCCAAGTCCTTTCCTTGGCTTCATCCATCCTTAGGTCATTCTGTCCAAAAATATCTGAATAAAGTTGCCAGTTCTCTATTTTAAGAAGGATGTGTTTTTGTTCTGAGGTTTTTCTTCCTGTTTTTGTTGTAAAAATAGCCTTTTAAATTAAATCATAGTGGTGACAGATTGTGTTCACTCACACACACACATGCTTACGTATACTATATGGGTTTTTTCCCCTCATGCATTATTTTGGTAAATATAAAGGTACTTGTCCCAAATTTGTTCTGTAGTTTTAGTGGCATGTGGAATAGTAGGAGCTACTGCTTTAGAACCCTTGCAGGAAGAGGCCAGGAGGAGGGGTTCAGGGAGAGGTTTTGGTGGTGACCCCAGAGTTTCCTCTGAGTGAGACCTTTTAATTCTGTTAATTCCTTTGCAGAGGATGAGGAAATTTTTAGGTCAGGAATTTGAAAAGGAAAAATGGTGAGGTTCTCAACTAAGGGACTTCAGTGATAATCTGTAGCTGCTTTTCCTGTTTTTATTTTTGTGAAGGTGATAGTTTCTATACCCGTCTTTATCATCTCAGAACTTATTTCTATTCACCCCTCTTCCTTAGCCCAGAAAATCTTTCATTTATACTTCTTATGGGTCATTAGTACACAGGTAGTGAGCAGAATGGGCCGTTAGATTAAAAAAAGCAGTTTTGTTTATGTTCTTTTTATACCTGTCTTGGTAAAATTAGCACATCAATTTGACACTCCTCTTCTTCTTCTTTTTATTTTTTCTGTTTGTGGCAGTGGGGATTGAACCCAGGGGTGCTTTACCACTGAGCTACATCCCCAGCCCTAGTGAGACAGGGTCTCAAAACTTGGGATCCTCCTGCCTCAGCCTCCTCAGTGGCTGGAATTAGAAGTGTGGGCCACTGTACCCAACTGCAATTTGATATTATTCTAATCTGTTTGTTAATCAGACATCAAAATGAAATTCTTCTTTTTGCCATGTCAGAATCCCAATATCAGTTTAAATGCTTGGAATTTTCTCTGAAGTACCCAGAAGATAAGCTTTAAGTAAACCTGGAACCTTGATTTAACACTTTAACATGTGTTAACCTTAAAATGCTAAAGGTGACCAAGGTGTGGATATTTGTTTTTCTGCATCTATTCTCCCTCTTGACACAGAAAATTGATATGTGGTGGGGAAATCTGACCCGTGTTTCTTTACCCACCACTGCCCCTTTGTGGCATCTTGTATGTGTCTTTTATGAAGAGATTCTGGATTATCCCTATCTGCTTTGTTCATAGATATATACCCAGGATTTAGAATAAATCCTGATTGTATAGTAGATGCACAATACATATGAATCAAGAGACTGGAAGAACTGAAGGACAGTATTAGCAAGATCAAATGAAATCCATGGGCTGAGTCCTTTGTCCATTGACATCATGGCAGAATATGAACAAGCAATGAGCGAGCAAAAAGCCAGGTGGAAAAAAAACTGAGAACATATGTCTAGATATAGTTAGTTATAATTAGATGTAACTAACTGCATATTTTGCCCCTTAATATTTGTTCCCCTTGAACAATTTATTCTTAGGAAATATATTTCAAATAATCTGCTATGCCTGTTATTTTCCATAGATTCATGTGGACAAGCTGGACATGTTTAGAAACATGCCTGACATTCTTCATCATCTCACAACAGACCGTAACACCCAGATCCACGCATGTCGGCATCCAAAGGTATCTGTGTAAATGACCATTCTCATGTTGTTTTCAGGATCCATGATTGTTAGGTCAAAAGGAACTTCAAAAATTTCATTTGAGACTGAATCATCACTTTGTAAACATAAAAGCTGAGGCTACAATCGTAAGTTGTTAGCTCAAAGTTATGCAGCATTCCTAACTATATTTCTTTAACATATATATCATAATAAGCAACAGACACAGATCCTTATAGTTTAATTTAAATAAAATCTATTCCTATACATTCTAGAATGTAAATTTATTTCTAATAAAATAATATGCTGTAGCTTATAATTTAAGCAAATATATTTATGGTCCACTACTATTTAATTTTTGAGACTCATGACATACACATTCATAAACTTTAGTTTTCTTCCATTCGAGATAAATATCTAGATATAACTTCCTTCAGACTTTGAAGAAGTGACATGTATTGACGGACCAATTTTCAGCGAATGTTTCCAGTGCCTCTGCAACTCACATGAATTTTTTTTTTCCTGTAGTATGGATTGAACTAAGGGCTTTCTACCACTGAACTGTGTCCCCAGCCCTTTGTATTTTTATTTTGAGACAGGGTTTTGCTAAGTTGTCCAGGCTGTCCTCAAATTTGCCATCCTCCTGCCTTAGCCTCCTGAGTAATTGAGATTATAGGAGTGCACCACTGTGGCCAGCTTTGATCTGTTTTTAATGCTACCACAGAGCTTTTCTGTTATTGAACACCAGGGATAAGGCTTAACGTTTTGAATTTGCCTTTAATATATTCATTTTAATTATTAAGACTAGTTACCTTCAAATATGAGCGATGATAATTTCCTTCTAAATTTTTAATAATCTTAGCATTCAAATGCTGAGTGTTTTTTTTTTTTTGTCAGTAGGGAGTGCATTTGTACATTCAGATTACTGTTTGGTGATATTGGTCCCATGTACCTAAGCCAAAACTTTAAGTCTACTTGCTTGGCCCTTACAATAAAGTATAACTTTAAATCAAAAAAGTAACTCTTATTGTCAATATGGAATGTTTTTTTGGGGGGCCACTGTAAGAGCTGGAGGTAAGAAATTACATTTGATGGTTTGTAAGCTGCATATTGTAACTTGCATTCATGAATGTATTTAACCATTTTTGGTGTGTGTGTATAGATATATGTGTATGTACAAATACATGCATACATCCAATGAATTTGTGGATAGATAAAAATAAGATAGATAAAAAGTATTAAATGTTTTGTCCCTTCTTTTCTGTTGGACTTGTAGTCTTTTGTCCCATGCCCCATAAATTTTTAAATTGTCAAATTTCTTTTTGTTCTGATTTTTCTGATATTTCACAAAGTAGCTTAATTTCTAATTCTATTGCTATCATTTCCCACAAAGCTGACTTTTCTTGGGACACTATTTCTAGTGGCTTAAAATATTCCTTAGGCCACATAGTTTTTACAAATACTGACTAGTAGATCTCCAGAGGTTGAGGAGTCCTGTTGCAGTCTCATCTAGATCCTTATAAGAAATAGTAATTTCTGTGAAGAAATTTGAGTGGGATGGAGTGAATCCAAACATAATGTCTTTGAAACAATCATCCCATTATTTTTCAGGCTTGTAAACGCACCTTTTTATATTTTTTCCTCCAGTTTTATTTTGAAGTTTTTAAAAACAGTGAAGTTGTAAGCCTAGTACAAATCCTAGTGTATTTATTCATCTGGACTCATCATTTTGTTGACACTGCCACATATTCTCTCTCTCCCTCTCTCCATGTGTACCACCCACAGCCCAAACCACTGGAGAGTAAGTTGCAGATTTCATGGCATTCCACCTGAACTCCTTCATCAAGAATCTCTTAAGAACAAGAACATTCTCTTATATAACCACAACATGATTCACCCACTCAGGAAATTTAATGTTGTTATAATACTGTTGGCTAGTTTATAGTCCATATTCCAATTTCCCAATTGTCTCAATAGTATGCTTTATAGCCTAGGAGGATGGGAGCAATTAATTAAATTCAGGATTTAATTAAAGATCATGCATTGCATTCAGTCAGCTTGAAGAGTCTTTAGATATAGATCATGTCTCCAGCCTTTGGTTCTATTTCCTCATATTGATGGTTTTGAAGAGTCGAAGCCAGTTGTTCTGCAGAAAATTTCTCAATTTGGAATTATCTGATTGTTTGCTCATATTTACACTTTTTGTTCATGTCTAAAAACTTATTTACTTTTGTTTTTGAGATTTTACCTGCAAACAGTTTTGTTGAAAATATATAACTGTTTCCATATATTTTTAAATCTTTTTTAGGCAGAGGAATATTTTCAGTGGAACAAATTACCCTGTGGAATTACTTCCAAAACTGGAATTCCACTCCACATAGTCAGCATTAAGCCTTCTACCATGTGGTTTGGAGAAAGAACTAGAAAAACAAATGTGATAGTGAGGTAAGAAACTCATGCCATTGGTCTTCTGAGAGAAACTTTGAGATAAAATATTTGAATTTAGTTTCAAAACAGTCTGGCCTAAGCCCAAGAAGAGGATCTACTGTAATGGTGGGGATTCCTTTCTTTAAACACTGTATAAACTGAAGAGATGCTATTCCAAACCTATTATTATAACATGAGCCATATATCTAAAGGCTGTTCTAGTGAGGGAGGAGAGAAGATGGCTGGAGCCTGTAGGAATCGGAGTGGTTGGGTATGAGTTGTACATTAATGTGGAAAGTAGAAGCCCCTTGGCAGAGTAAAGAGTTTCCATAATGATATCTTCAAACCATTTCCTTGACTTTGGCTATTTAGAATGTCTACAGCAGATTTCCAGTTCTGGAAAGTGTACTCCTGTTCCAAGAAGAAATTCCCGATTGTGGGGTGATTTCATATTGGAATAACCTAAAGATGAGAGTCAGGACTTTTAACTTAGTTTTGCTAAATGACTTTTTAAATTTTTGCTTTCATTTCCCTTTAGGACTGGGGAGAGTTCATACAGAGCTTGCTTTTCTTTTCACTCCTCCTATAGTGAGGTAAGGGGATCCCATAAACTCATAACCTTTCTCCTGGTAGTACTTCAGCCTTCATCATTGATAACAGTACTCTTGACTTCCAAAGGCATCTCTGTTTAAATCTCATCTTTCATTTTTTTTCTAGTAACAGTTGGTTCTCATTATTCATGAACTCCATATTTCTGAGTTTGCTCACTCACCATTACTTATTTGTAACCCCAATATCAATACTTGCAGCCCCTCAGGAGTCAGTCACTTGGACAGTGGTGAGAAATGTGAGTCACTTAACATGCACTTTTCATGATCTAGTTGAACAAGGCAGCTCTCATACTGTAGTTCTCATACTGTAAACAGGTGTCCTTTTTGTGGTCTATAGAATGCCACTTTTTTGGTATTTTTGTGCTTTTTCTCAGTAATCTTGCAATTTTAAATGACATTCTAGTGTGGTGCTGAAGTACTATCTAGATTCCTGAGCACAAGAAGGCTGTGATGTACCTTATGGTGAAAATATGTGTTAAGAGTCAGGCATAATGGTGCACATCTGTAATCCCAGTGGCTGGGGAAGCTGAGGCAGAATTTTTTTTTTTATTTCAAGCTCAAAGCCAGCCTCAGCAACTTAGTGAGGCCCTAAGCAACTTAGTGAGACCCTGTCTCAAAATAAAAAGAGCTGAGGATGTGATTAAGCATCCTTGAGTTCAATTCTTAGTACAAAACACACACACACACACATACACATTAATTTTTAGGTCTGAGTTACAGTGCTGTTTGCTGTGAGTTCAATGTTAAGGAATCAGCAGTGTTAAACAAGTTGTCTTTAAACAAATACATATAAAATAAGAGTATATGTAGATTGGTTGATGAAGATATCAACAGGGGCTTTTTTTTTTTTTTTTCTCTCTTTTTTTTTTATTGTTGGCTGTTCAAAACATTACATAGTTCTTGATATATCATATTTCACAATTTGATTCAAGTGGGTTATGAGCTCCCATTTTTACCCCATATACAGATTGCAGAATCACATCAGTTACACATCCATTGATTTACATATTGCCATACTAGTGTCTGTTGTATTCTGCTGTCTTTCCTATCCTCTACTATCCCCCCTCCGCTCCCCTCCCCTCCCCTCCCCTCCCCTCCCCTCTTCTCTCTCTGCCCCCTTTACTGACATTCGTTTGTCCCCCTTGTATTATTTTTCCCCTTCCCCTCACTTCCTCTTGTATGTACTTTTGTATACCTCTGAGGGTCTCCTTCCATTTCCATGCATTTTCCCTTCTCTCTCCCTTTCCCTCCCACCTCTCATCCCTGTTTAATGTTAATCTTCTTCTCATGCTCTTCGACCCTACTCTGTTCTTAGCTACTCTCCTTATATCAAAGAAGACATTTGACATTTGTTTTTTAGGGATTGGCTAGCTTCACTTAGCATAATCTGCTCTAATGCCATCCATTTCCCTGTAAATTCTATGATTTTGTCATTTTTTAATGCAGAGTAATACTCCATTGTGTATAAATGCCACATTTTTTTTATCCATTCATCCATTGAAGGGCATCTAGGTTGGTTCCACAGTCTAGCTATTGTGAATTGTGCTGCTATGAACATCGATGTAGCAGTGTCCCTGTAGCATGCTCTTTTTAGGTCTTTAGGGAATAGACCGAGAAGGGGAATAGCTGGGTCAAATGGTGGCTCCATTCCCAGCTTTCCAAGAAATCTCCATACTGCTTTCCAAATTGGCTGCACCAATTTGCAGTCCCACCAGCAATGTACAAGTGTACCCTTTTCCCCACATCCTCGCCAGCACTTGTTGTTGTTTGACTTCATAATGGCTGCCAATCTAACTGGAGTGAGATGGTATCTTAGGGTGGTTTTGATTTGCATTTCTCTGACTGCTAGAGATGGTGAGCATTTTTTCATGTACTTGTTGATTGACTGTATGTCCTCCTCTGAGAAGTGTCTGTTCAGGTCCTTGGCCCATTTGTTGATTGGGTTGTTTGTTCTCTTATTGTCTAATTTTTTGAGCTCTTTGTATACTCTGGATATTAGGGCTCTATCTGAAGTGTGAGGAGTAAAGATTTGTTCCCAGGTTGTAGGCTCTCTATTTACCTCTCTTATTGTATCTTTTGCTGAGAAAAAACTTTTTAGTTTGAGTAAGTCCCATTTGATCAACAGGGGCTTTCAGGAATCTAATTATGTACCATTTTCCTTCCTAGAAGCAGTAGTTAAGTATCCTCTAATTCAGTGTTCGTAGTGAGTTTTTAGAATATAATTCCCTACAAATACTGAGAAATTATTGTTGTAGTGTATTTTTTTAGACAGGCTGTCAACTTGAACAAGAAAGGATATTCCTCTGTTGGGAGTCTCAGAAGTAGTGAATCACTTCTGGGTATAGGTTTGACCTTACTTTTTCTCCTTATACAATGCCTGAGGACCAGATCTCCCTACCTTTCTAAGTTAAAGTAGCCTTTTATTTTAATAGAGTTATTGGCAACAACTGAGCTCTTGTCTCTTGATGCTTTATTTGGAAAGTTAGATGCTAATAATCATTCTGTGCCCTAGTCATTCCATTTGCAAAAGGGAAATTTTTGTGTTGTCTTCATGGAGATAATTGATCCATTTTATCTTCCTTCTTCTAGATTAAAGATTTCTTGAGCTACATTTGTCCTGTGAACGCATATCCAAATGTCATCCCATTGGGCACAACTAAGGATAAAGTTATAGAAATGTGAGTAGTTACTACGTGGGACATTGGTTACTCCCTTGATGGCTCTTGACTAGGAGACAAAGGAATTTTACCTGAAAGTTTACAAATCTGGAACCTGATTCCACTGTTAACATTTTCAAACTCTATTCATTTCCCTTTTTTCCTTTAATTCAGTGTGGCAGAATGTACAGATAGTATTATGAATTTGTCCTGGGTAGAATCCTGGCTCTACCATTTACTTGCAGTGTGATCTTAGCCAGATGACTTCTCTAAATTAGTTATTTCTAATAAGCAAAGTAGGAGTATCCATTCATGCTTACTTGTTGAGTTTCTCAGAAATTTAGAGATAATATATGAAAAACACTTAGCATAGTGCCAAGCAGGTGATCAGTGAAGGTATCTAGTGAATGCACAAGCAAAATAAAGGAGAGGTGAAACAGTATGATTATCTTTTACTGTCACTATTTTTTTAACCTCTTCTTTAAGTTCCATCTATTCATTCATTAAATATTACTTTATTTTTTCTTTTGACAGTACTGGGGATTAGAACCCAGGGGTGCTCTACCTCTATCCCTTTTTATGCTAAGTTGCCCAGATTGGCCTCAAACCTGCACTCCTTCCGAGTTTCTGGATCACAGGTGTGTGCCACCATACCTGGCCTATTCATTAAATGTTTCTCTAGTGCCAGCTCTAGCTTAGGCACTGCACTTGGGATGGATCCAAACTGACTAAGATACACCTATACTTATGGAATTCTAGAGTATTGGGAGAAGGCTGGGTCTGAACAGGAGCATACCATATACATACAAATTTCTGTGAATCGTGAAGGTATCTGGCCTGGTGCCAGGGAATCTACCCCAGAGACTTGATTATATACAATATTCTGATAAGTATATACACAGAACCAGGCTTGCAAGCGTTGCTGGAAAATAGGGTTTAGGACTAAGCTCTGGAGAGAGGTGTGGATTGGAAGCACAGATTTAGAATGTGCACCATAAGGACAAAGGAAATCACCAGGAGAGAATGAAGAGGATAAAATAAGCTGAGGTCAAAATTCTGAGCAGCACATTAAAGAAGGAATGAGAAGGAGACAGAGTGGCCTAGACAGTGGGAGGACCAGGAAAGACAAAATATAGTGTATCAGTGGCAAATTTTTGATTAGTCAAATAATAACAGGGAGGTCTCCTGTTGCCTTGGTAATTAGGTCATTTGTATGTGCCTAATGAGAGCAATTTTAGTAGACTTGTGAGTTGGAAGCCATATTGTATTTTTTTTTTTAATGTGAAAAAGTGAGGAAGACTATTCTTCAAACAATTTGATAATGCCAGGCATGGAGGTACACCCCTGTAATCCCTGCAACTCAGGAAGCTGAAGCAGGAGGATCACAAGTTTGGGGCCAGTCCTAGCAATTTAGCAAGGCCCTAACCAAATTAGAGACATACTGTCTCAAAATAAAAAGGGCTGGGAATGTGGCTCAGTGGTTATTTCCCTGAGCCACAGGGACTGTGGTACTGGGTTCAGTCCCTGGTACCAAAAAAAAAAAGTTCAGGAAAGGGTACAGACAAGATTTTTTTTTCTTTAATATTTATTTTTTAGGTGTAGATGGACACAACACAATGCCTTTATTTTTATATGGTGCTGAGGATCGAACTTGGGTCCCGCCTGGTCTAGGCGAGCACTCTACCGTTGAGCCACAATCCCAGCCCTAGAGTCTTGTTATTAAAAGCTGAGATGTAAAAATGCCTTTTGTAATTTATCTTGAATACACTTAAGAAGTGGTAACAGAGCTGAGGTTCTGGAGGGATGGAACAGAATAGACCCTGAACATGAGAAGAAGAGTGACAATGTCATGTGGGTGTGGCTGAACATAAATTTCAGGTTGGGAGCTTCATGGCGCTCTCCTCCAAGTGGTAAGTTATATAAAATCCTCAAGGATTCTGGCAATCTTCAAAGCAGTTAGCAATGCTGCCCTCAATGAAGGGTAGATCCTTTCTCCTTTTATTTCTGTCTTCATACTTTCAGCCTGTAGCTCCAGAATGAAGACATAAATATGTGAGATTGGCAAGATATAAGTAAATCCCATTAAACAGGGAAAGGGAAGCAGCTAGCAGTCCTATATTCCCTGAATACCGGGAGGCATTGTATTACTTGTTTTAGGATAGGGACCTACTTTTCTGCATTACAAGAGTGAAGATCTGTTTTGTTTCCCTTAATCCTAACAATTAGGTTATCTTGGGGTTGTATTTAAATACCAGTTTACGTTTATTAAAGTCATTTTTAATAAACACTACTTTCAGTTCTTAAAAGTTGTGTGATTTCCCCCAAAGTCAAGTTTTTGTAGTCTCTATAAATAATACAAACTTTCTAGCAGCTTTTCAAAAGGAAAAGTCAAATATTCTGATTCATTTCAGCTTACAGCCTCTATGCAGATCTTCCCAAAGTACTGAGCCAAAGTATAAACCACTTGGAAAACTGAAGAGAGCTAGAACAATTCATGTAGACTCAGGTAAGACTAATAGTCCAGGTCCAGTGGTGTGGGTTTCCTGCAAAGATGTTTTTCAGGATGTTCTGGTCTGGTAAAGTGGCCTTGGGCTAATAGACATGGTCTCCAGGAAGAGCTTTGCTTTCCTATCTTCAGGAAGTCAGGAGTCCGATGTCCTTCCCAGGATGAAGTAAGTGGTGAAAACCTGTTGCACATTGCAAGATGTTCTCAGCTTTCTGGGAACATGCTCTGTGACTGGTAGAAGCCCCAAAGAGAGGCTGTGTTGTTACCCTTGAACATTTCCCTTCAATATACAGTGTGAAAATGAAGCCATTATTGTTGTAATTTCTTATCAGACTGATCAGTGGTGGAGAAAAAAATCAATGGATTTTCTCTATACTTTCTTTCATCACTACTTTCATTTTTTAGAAATAAGCTCCGATATAGAAATCAGAACTTTAGATTCTGAGTAAAGCTCTCCTGGTTTACAGCAGCCATATTTTATGGTTAGGATTCTGGTTTCCTTTGAGAGTCAGTTACTATACCATATAGTGAATACATAATGCTTCTTGAACACCTAGTACATGGCTAGTATTGTACTAGCCATATGGTATCTATTTCGTTTGAGCTGCCGAAACCAAAAAAAAAACAGATTGGGTTGTTTATTATTTCTCACCATACTGGAGATTAGAAGTCCAAAATCAAGGGGCTGGCAAGATACATTTCATTCTGAGGCCCTTTCTCTTGGCTTATAGTTAACCATCCTCTTTTGTGCCCACAAGGTGCAGGGAGAGCACTTGAGAATTGGAGGTATCTGGTATTTCTTAAGAGGATACTAATCCTGCCAGATCAGGACCCTATCCTCATTTACCCATAATCACTTCCTTAGAGGCTCTATCTGCAGATTAACTGATACACTGGAAGCTGAAATTCTTTAAAAACAAACAAACAAACAAAAAATAAAAACTCATACCTTTTCTGCATTTACTCAATCCATACTTAAATTCAATGATTGTCTTTTTGGATCTGGTTGCTAGTTCATGTTAATGCTTGCTTCTATTTTATTTATTCTTGATTCCCCCACACCCCACTCTTTGTTAGCTTTGATTTTGTTCCTTCTAGATTGTTCTGTCTTGTTGTTACTCATAGATTTTCTTATATTTGTATGGGTATTAATCTGAATTTTAGATACATTTTATAGTATCTTAATATTTAATTTAACCCATGTACATCATTGACTTTTTAATTATCCTAATCTGAGTGTGCTTTAAAATCTGGTAATGACTAGATTTTTAGGTCCTTTAGTTTTTTTCTGTTAAGTGATCAGCACCAATATACATGTAGTTTTAAATCAGTTGCTTTAAGATTTGTGCTTTTATCAGAATCTGAGGGGCAAGCTCAGAAGTCATTCTTAGCCTCTTTAAAAACTTCTTTGTGCTCTAAATGTTTTAATAGCTTACCTTATTATCATCTTCACAGACCACTTTTATAAAAGTATATACATACTCACTGTAGATAATTTGGAAAATATATGGCTATATGATATATAGATATTTTGATTAGCATCTTAATGTATTTATTTCCCCTTATTAACTTACATATTCACAAAACTCAGAGGAGTGATGTCAAAAACATTTTAAAAACACTCTAGAGGCTCTAGTCCATGAGAACAGTAGTGTCTGTAGCACTAGAGCAATGTACTGAAGTTCTGTTGCACAAGACTCTTTTAAGTGGACTGAAGTCCTTAGGGTAAGACCTAGGACAGTGGGGCACAGGGAAATGATGAAAGAATTCAGTAGAGTAATAACTGCATAGATGCACACAGGCTGAAAAGCAGCTTATACCACTTTTATAAATATACACATATGTGTATATGCCTATTTTTCACTTAAAACATTTTATTAAAATGTTTCTCTTCAAAAACAGTTTAATGGTTGCATACTTTTCATTATAATCTTTGAGTTATGAATATTAAGTCATAATTTAGGTTGTTTTATAATTGTAATAACTCATTGGGTTAAATTATAGAAATTTAGGTGCTTAATACATATTACCAAATTGCTTTCTAGTAAGGTTATCAATTTTTACAAACATTTATGACATCTGTCCTTTTTTTTCATGGAGTTTAGGTGTTTTTATTATCAGTATTTGTAAATTCTAAGAATTAATACTTGAATATTGTGATATTTTTCTCAGTGTTATGCCTAATTTCATAATTTAAAATTTCACATGGTTACAGAATAGTACACAGTGTTAAACTCAGAGTATAGAAACTTTGCTTCTTAGACACACACAGGTAAGATGACATGAAAATGTTGTGAGAAAGGATTATGCAGTGGAAACATGTTACTGTTACAGTTGCAGATCTAGGACATGGAGTTGTCCAACTTAGACCTCATAAAAAGATGACTCATTGCAGAACTAAAATATATAGCTCATGACTTTAAAAAAGCTATATTCTGGAGACTAGGATGATTCCAAATAGACTAGCTAGACATATTAGTCTTCTGAAGTCCTTTAAGAATGAAGGCTAAGATCAATTATAAATCCTAAATGAAACAATAGATTCTGAGAATTAGCTTCATGGTGGGCATGGCAGCATATGCCTGTAATCCCAGCAACTTGGGTGGCTGAGGCAGGAGGATCCAAAGTTCAAGGCCAACCTGGGCAACTTAGGAGACCCTTTTCCAAAACTTAAAAAAAAAAAAAAAAAATGTTTGACTTATGAATCAGCATGCCTTTTCTCTGGACATGTCTCCTTATTGGCAAAAGGGGAGCTGGATAATGGCCTATTAAAAATAGTGTTTAGCTTCACCGTTATCATTGGGAAAGCAATTATCTTTAAGAAGTAGGATATTATAAGTTAACACCTTAATTAGAACAACTTGCCACATTTAATTTTCTGCCTCAGTGCCTTTAGAATGTGGGAAAATACTGGTTTTATTGAAATTTTATTCATTTATGAGAACTTCATTTCCCACTTAAGAATGATTGCCCAATCTTATAGACCGGGCTTACTATATGATGATTTGGCATGCTTAATAATCAGTAAAATAGATGTTGACTTAGTTCCTGACACTTATTAGGACTTATCTGATATTTTGGTTAAAGTTGATTTAACCTTTATGTGTTCCCCCAGTATCTGTCACGGTGTTGTGTACAAACGATAAATAGAGGTGGCAGGGAGGGATCAACTCTTTATTAAAGCAGCCAACCCACTAGGCACCTACTGTTTGCAGAGCACACAGAGTTTATAAACCTGGTTGATGAGCAGAACCAGCTGCAATACTTTATTTGGCCCAACCTTCACCAGACAATCTCTGGAAAGAAATCTAGAAACATTTTTCTTTAAACAGTTCTCCCTATCATCCTAACAATCAGATTTAAGAACCACTTGACTTATATTCTCTACTAATGGTGTGGCATTACAAAAATCCAAGAAGGATGATAGATTGTTCAGGATATCCCAATAAGAGGCCTTTTGATTTTATCTTTGGGGGAAAAAAAAAAAAAAGGAGCCTCTTCATTTTTTGCTGTTTCAAGAATTTAAACCCTGGGTAAATGCTACAAATTAAATCTTCATTGAAAATAGAAATTGACTCCATTTACCTTGTTTCTTATAAACCTTTTTTTTTTTTTTTAATTGTTGTTCTATAGAGGAGGAAGATGAACTCTTTGATGACCCTCTGCCAGTACCATTAAGGCACAAGGTTCCATACCAGCTAATTCTTCACCCTGGGGTATTTTCAATGACTGCAATATCACAAAACCAGCCTGAAAAACTGAGACAAAGCACAGGATGTTTCAAAACAGAGAGTACACAAAACTCTCTTTTGAGCAATTTTATAGATTGTGAAGAATCCAACAGTGAAAGTGAGGAAGAATTAGAAATGCCATCTTCAGTGCAAGAAGATCTGGGCTCTGTAACACTTCCCCAGCAAAAGGCTGATGTGGATGTACCACAGTGGGAAGTATTCTTTAAAAGAAAAGATGACACCACAGATGAGGGTTTGGAAAACTTCCCTTTCTCCACAGAGACAGGAGGATCTCAGTCACCCAATCTTTTCAATGACTCTGATGGAGAATCAACACACATCTCCTCCCAGAATTCTTCTCAGTCAACACACATAACAGAACAAGGAAGTCAAGGCTGGGATAGCCAATCTGATACTGTTTTGTTATCTTCCCAAGAGAAAAATGGTGGGGATATTACCTCTTTGAACAAAGGTGTCTACAGACCAAAAACCAAAGAGAATATTCCTACCTCCCAGATGGAACAAAATGTACTTTGCCCAAAGGACACTCACTCTGATTTAAAAAGCAGAGATTCAGAAGTAACTACAGTTCCTAACACTGGAGAACCAACTAGTCTGAGTTGTGGGAAACACATACCTGAGAAAAACAGATCGCTAAATCTTAGCACACATTCAGATTCACAGAGTTCCTCTGATTTTGAAATTCCCTCAACTCCAGAAGCGGAACTACCTAAACGAGAGCATTTACAGTATTTATATGAGAAACTGGCAACAGGTGAGAGTATAATAGTTGAAAGAAAAAAATGTTCACTCTTAGATATTTAAATGGAATACTTAAAAATCTTCAAATAGCCTAAAAGACAGCAGCAAAACACACGTCAATGGAAAGACATGTGGGGAAACATAACCCAATTACATGCTGTGTATAAGAAACTCAGTTCAAATGGTGTAAGTTAAAAGGATGGAAAAGAGACACCATTTAAATACTAAAAGCTGGAGTAACTACACAAATATCAATTTCTGGATAAAAGCTTCAAGTTAACAAAAAGACATAAGAATCCTAAATTTGCATGCACTTAACAGTCAAAATACATGAAACAAAAGGAAATGCAAACTAATGTACAATTATATTTTAACATTCTTCTTTTTGTAAGAGAACTAGTATAAATACAGAAAATCAAGTATATAGAACTAAACACCATCAGTCAACTGGATCTAATTTGCATTTATAGAACACTGCACCTAATAGAACACATCTCTTCAAGTGCACATGAATATTCACAAAGATACATCTTGGATTATAAAAATTAGAATAACTGAATCTATAAATTGTTTATGGGGGGAATCACCTTTACTTTCAAAAGATGTTCTATCACTTTAAACCGTTGATCTGAATACAGTGGTAAAACTAGAACAATAAGAATGTAAAAGAAAATGTTTATGAATTAAATGACTATATGTTCAAAGTCATTAAATTTAAGTTCACAAGTGCTTCTAAGAATTCAATAAAGTTTTACAAACATTCATAAAAACTTCTGTATGCTGACATTTCACAATAATCAGAGCTGAGACATCAGTTTTTAGTGGTATCTCACAATTTGTAGATTAAACGGAGAATGATTTGTATCTTGATGTTGCATAGTAATAAGACCAAAAAGTAGTCCTGGATCCACCATACTAGAGTTACTATATTTTGTATAATAGTCACTAATGCTTAAGACTTAGTTTTAATAGTATACTTATGATTCAAGATAGGCATTCACAAAATACCTGTAAACATTCTTCTGAATATATTCCTAGCATTTTACAATCACCATTTTATGTCTGGTAAAAATGCTGGCTGAATTCAAGGGCTAAGAGCAATACAGACTATTCAACATACTTGTAAAGGTCATCAGATTTTAAAGCAGAGGTTTTGAGTGATAATACTTATCAGTGCTTATTCTGTAAAAAAAAAAAAAAAAAAAAAAAGTTTTTTACACACATATGCTTTAATTCTCATAACTACCCTTTGAGGGATAGGAGATGAAGGCACAACAGGTTAGTTCACATAGCCAGTAAGGGGCAAAGCCAGGATTCAAACACAAGCAACTTGACTTTACAGTCTCTGCTCTTAAGCACTATGCTATTCAAGTCATTATTATCTAATAATATAGTATAAAAACGGGCAGGAATAATTTAGTTGCTACTTGATTTTTACTTCCAGAACTATTAATTGTAAAAGGAAAAGTGGGAAAAAAAGTTGAATCCCAGGACCTAAAAATTTTAAGAATAGACACTGATTTTTTTTTAAGTATCCCTGAATACTTATAAAATAGGTATAGTTTTCAGCCTAGTAATTGGATGATCTTGGGCACATTAATGTTACCTACCCAGTCTAATCCTGTTACCTTAGGTGTAATAAAGAAATGACGGCAACAACCTTCTAGATTTATGAGAAGTACATTAGTATACACATAAAGGGCCTAAGCCTTATTCAATTAATACTAGTTCTGAATTCTAAAATTTCTTTGTATTTCAAGGCAAACTTACAATAGTTAAAGGACCTAGTAATTAATAGCATAAAAATTTCAAATACACAGTATCTGTCCATATTGTGCTAACTACGTTCAGTTGTACTTTTAATACCCAAATGCATGAACCCATAAAGGAACTGTATAGAAATCTTTGGTTAATCTCATCAGCAGATAGAAATGTTATCAGTATCTTTCTGCATTCTACTGGAAACATTCAAAAGCAAATGAAGTTAAGCCTTGGTAAATGGACTATCAAATGCCAAACTAAATTTATTTTGCTAAGGAAAAACTGAACTAAAAGAAGTACGGTCTAAATTTTGAAAATTTGGGAGAAAAACTCATGAGATTTCCAATTGTATATTACAATCCTACATTAATACTGGGAATGATGGTCTTAAAACTTGCACAGATTTATAACTCAGATTTGCTCTATTACCCTAGAATACCTGCATTATATTGAGAACAAATTCTGATGTCTTTAGGAAATCAAAAAGAAGAAACTAAATGTTGATTAAAATAGTTAGTCTCTAACAGCTTCATTTTAATAGTTCCTATTTTACTGCCTAAGCTCAGCTTTTTAACATAGAGGTAACACAAGTACTCAAAATCTCAAAGACCTATTAAATTTCTATTAGTAAGGACAAAACAACAAGAAAAGTCTTTTTCCTTTTGTCCTCCAGTTTTACATCTTTTAAAAAACCCAGACAGTAGATGAGATTAAATAATTAGATAGTAAAATACTGGCTAAAAAAATTAAACCTTTAAACCTATGAGAAAGATAATTCAAAATAAGCTTTGCCGCCAGGGGGGAAACATGTAAATTTGTGATACTTTCTTACTATTGAAATCACGTAACTAAATTTTTCATAAAGAAAACACAAGAAATGCTATTAAAAAATATATTTTTTCTTGACACATTCTGTAATTTTTGGTTAGCAGACACTATGAGGCTCCAAACATGCAAACAATTTTCCTACATTATGAAAGAGCAAAGTCATGTGATAGCAATATAGTGAATAATAAAGTGTACTAAAAAGGAGTTAAGAATCAGGAAGATATTTTAAAGTACTACATTCTTGAATCAGTTCAATGTTACCCCAGGTTACTGTAGATCATTAAAGCCTAGAGCAGTGAGCTTAGGCAGGATTAATTAGGAATACTGGAAGCTAGATTTGTGGCATCTTCATGTTGGGACACCATGATTAGAAATCCCAGAATCAGAGATGAAAACAGTTTTCCTGATTGAGGTTTTACTATACATGGGGGAAATCTTTCCATTCAGTCATTATTAACTAATAAAAGGTCTCAATTCAGGCATAGACTTTGGCCAAGTTTAGCTTTATCATATCTTAAAAATTCATTATAAAACAAGTATCAGTTCAAATATAGATTACTTTTTAAGAAGAACCTGCAGGAAATATAAAAATAATTGAATCTGATGGAAAAGAAACATTAAAGCTGCCTAAAATTGAAAGGATGTAAAGATAGGGTGTATTACATTATCATTAAGTACAGCTGCTCCTCAGGTCTCCTGTTTCAAGGTTTAGACCAGAGATACTCAACATGGATCTCCTGTTTCATGCTAAGTGGAGTGCTCAAAGTGCTCCATTTCCCCTGCCATGGCACTCCAAAAAGCCTGCTGGTTCACCTGTCCTGTCCTTTCAAGGAAGCATAATAGCCAGTCATTCTGGACCTTTATAGAGGGCTTTTGGAGATTTTTATTCTACAGGATTAAAATCATGTAAGAATTTCAGGTTGAGGCATACAGCCTTTATAATGGTCTAGATCACTTCAAAATATGAAATAAAGCTAAAATTAAAATTAAAATTTTTTACATTTAATTTTATACCTTAATTTTTATATCATGAAAATGCCAAGGTTTTAATGAAAAAGTAGAAAATTAGAGTAAAAAAATTCAGTATCACCTATTTGTCTCAAAACAAGACCAGTGGGTATTAAATAGGAATATAGTAACAAAAATAGAACTTGTATACAGCCCAAATTCAACTATTTCTTTGAAACCAAGGTATAAGGCAAGATGAATTTTTCATCTCAGCATTCATTACCTTATCATTTTAACACTTTTCAAACAGTGAAGGGAGCACTTCTCTGTTCACACAGACTTCATAAGTATACACATGCTGAGCCATAGTTTGTCTTCCATGTTTGATGTCAAACCACCAAATATGTATACTTTAAATTCGGTTACGTGACCCTGTGTCCTCTTCAGAAGCAACAGTAATATATTTGGCAAATGTCTTGAAACGTGAATTGTAAATTAACATAAGTATAATCCTGATAGTAAGAAAGAGTCCCAAATACTTATTTTTTTAAAGTGTAACATTGGTGGGGGGGACTACAATTATCATCAGCTCTATTTCCTGAAAATTCAGTTGAGGTAACCTCTGCAAGTCACAGCTCCACATTTGCATACAGTTCTGATCCTCTTTTTGGCAGGGCTATGGTCAATAGAATCTGAAGATACATCTCCAGAACCTGAATATACAGAAGAAAAACAGAAGAAAGTAAAGACAATTTAGAATGAAATTCAATTTTTCTATTAGTTTTAAAGTAGCTAGCAAGGCTACTAAACTCATGCAAGATCACTGAAGTAAGTTTACTCCCAAGGAAATAAAAGTTTTCCCTTTGCATTTATAAGTAGGAATGTTCAGACAACTCATAATTGCTTTAAAAGGATGGTGTAGGCTAGGTAAGAGGTCACACTTAGGTTATTAGGCCACATTTGTGAGATTGGGTCTCTGCAAAGCTGAAACTTACTGGGAAACCCCAATATACATTCATTCTTTTCATACATTAAGAGCAAATAAAGTCAAGCAATAACTATGTGAAGGACACCATTCTTAGAAAAACAAAGGAAACAAATTTTCATATTGTCACAATAAAGCAAACAAATTAAATGTCCTTTTTTTTTTTTTACTTATTTATTTATTAGTTTTCGGTGGATACAACATCTTTGTTTGTATGTGGTGCTGAGGATGGAACCCGGGCCGCACGCATGCCAGACGAGCGCTCTACCGCTTAAGCCACATCCCCAGTCCTAAATGTCCTTTTAAAAGTCAGATTCAAGAAGGAATGGAATAAGTTCCTATGTGACTGAAATCATCATTTCAATCTTCTGAACTAACATTGTTTATTAATAAAATTCAGAAATGTAGGCTTATATTTTTAAAATACAAGCAGTTTAGTAATGAAAAGGTGTTGTAATAAATCATTTTCCAAAACAGAGTTCTGAAAAAAGGGGGCAACATGATATAGAAGACACCATTTCTCAGACAACCAGATAAGCTCTGAATCTTAAGACCAGGAACTCTTACAGCCTTGATTTCTTTCATCATTAAAGTTAGTTTGTTGCAGATGATCTAAGGCTTTTTCCTATTTTGATTCTTCATATTGAAACTAACATCAAAGAAACTGTACTCAAAAATCCTACCTTTCATTTGATAATCAAATGTCAGCTCTTCTCCAGCATTTATGGTTCTTGTGGAAAATAATGCTATTCGGGGAAGACGAGTATCGAGGTTATCGATGAAAACATTGAACACCTGAAGATTTGGGTCACACTAAAAACGAACATTAAAACCCATTTAAGTAAAAGTGATGTAAACAAACTGTTTTACATGCTATATAAAACCTTTAATTTCCCAGTGTGTTTATTTTTTAAGGGCCATAATTATATAAAATAATGGTTACCTGAACACAAGCACTGTGACACTTGTGATAGTCAATCTAATATACCAAGACAGTTACCAAATATTAACAAGCAGGTAGCATATACCTGATAATGTATGTAATGATTCGTGTCCTGGGCAGGTTATGGTGGGACAGTATGAGATTTTATTGTACTGACAGAATGGAATGCAATTTAAAACTTTTGAGTTATTTATTTCTGGAATCTTCCATTAAATATTTTTAGACTGGAGTTGACTGTGGATAACCAAAGACGTGGAAATTGAATCTGTGGATAAGGGATAAGAATTATATATTCCAAAATTTAGCTACAAATTCCAAAAGTCAAGTTTGACTCAATGTTTTACTGGAAATTAAATTGCTTAGGTATGTACATTCAAAAGTATTATTTTCACATATAAGAAATTTTCAAACATACTTAGAAGTAGAGAAAATAATACACTAAATCCATAAGTATCTGCTTAGCTTCAACAATTATCAATATGTTTACCAATCATCATCTTCTAGTCCCAACACTTTATTTTCCTGAAGAATTTAAATTTAACATTTCTTCTATAACTATCTCAGTAAGTCACACAATTTAAAGAACCAGAATAACAGTATTTTAAAAATCAAAAATCAGTACCATGGGATAAATTTTAAATTGTATGGAGTTTCACTGCTTAAACTTTTATTTATAATTGTCCAATATTTTGAGAGAATTCTCCACTAAATTATGGAATATCCAAGAAGAGTGATCTAAACAATCATACTATGAAACCCAATTACATAATTAGTTGTCACTGAATAGAACATAAGTGTTTTGGAAGTACAGTTGGCTCTCTGTAACTGTGTAATCTCCATCCACAGACTCAGCCATTGGCAGATCAAAAATGTTTGGAGAAAAAAAGTACACTTATATTGAACAGGTACAGACTGTTTTGTCATCACTCTCTAAACAGCATAGTAAAACATTACATTGTATTAAGTATTAGAGATTATCAAAGTATAAAAAAGGATGTGCAGATGATGTGCAAATACTACATACCATTTTATATAAAGGAACCTGAGAGATTCTGGAACCAATCCCCTGAGATAACAGAAGGATGACTGTTATCTCCAATTTATCATTAAGAAAAAAATTATTTTAAAGCAAAAGTTTAAGTCATAAAACAAGGGGGTCAGAAGGTCTCTCACACATCACTGACAATCACACATCAGTTTTTTGTTATGCAACCCATTAGAAGGTTATCATGATTTATAACATCAGCTGTACAACTTACTCTCTGATATACGTTTTTCTTATATCTATAACGTCTATAAAATGGAGTTATCAACCTAACTAGCCCTATATACCTGACATTTAGAAGGTGCCCCCAGATTAACTTATCTTTGGAAATAGTTTTCTCAGAGGATGAGACTCTGGAGTTATAATTGGAGCTCTCAGTTCTTTAAAATACTAATGGAGAATAATTTATAACTTAGGGGTGAAAATGTCCCAACTATTTTAATACTCTACAAATCCTTAAATTTTATTTTAAAAATGTTAACATGCTTATATTTTAAGAAAATACAGTAGTCCCTCTTTATCCATGGGAGATTCAGTCCAAGACCCTAGTGGATTCCTGAAACCATAAATCATTACCCAAACCCTGTCTTTGCTAGGTTTTGTCCCTAAATACATATATGATACATTTAACTTATAAGTTATGCAAACAAAAAGGACAATAACTAAAATAGAACAATTTTGTACTAAATGTAATCTCTCAAAATGTTATACTTTCTACCTCTGCACTTTAAAAAAACACTTTACTCTTTGGCATATCCAAATTGCCAGCAACACTATGCTTATGTTTTGGGGCCATTATTAAGTAAAATAATGGTTACCTGAACACAAGCACTGTGATACTTTAATAGTAGATCTAACAAACCAAGACAGCTACCAAATATTAACAAGAAGGTAGCATATACCTGATAATGTATATGATGATTTGTATTTGGGGCAGGTTATGGTGGGACAGTATGAAATTTTATTGTACTGACAGAATGGAATGCAATTTAAAATTTATGAGTTATTTATTTCTGGAATCTTCCATTAAATATTTTTAGACTGCACTTGACTGTAGATAACCAAAAACGTGGAAAGTGAAACTGTGGATAAGGGGTAAGAACCATATATTCCAAAATTTAGTTCTATTAACTCTAAGTTAAAGTTAAATATAACTGCAAGTGATTTTTGACTCTTTTTTTTTTTTGTACTGGGGACTGAATTCAGAGGCACTCAATCACTGAGCCACATCCCCAGCCCTATTTGTATTTCATTTAGAGTCAGGGTCTAACTGAGTTGCTTAGCGCCTCACCATTGCTGAGGCTGGCTTTGAACTCAAGATCCTCCTGCCTCAGCCTCCCAAGTCTGGGATCACATAGGTGTGCACCACTGCACCCAGTTTTGAGTATTTTATTTCTTAATTATCATTTATTAATTTCCTCTCTGATATGAATACCTACCTTATAAAGATTATTAATTGAAAGACTAAGCAAAGCATAAAGACTCTGGAAAAACTTGGTAAGCACCTCAATGTTGATCTTCCTAACATAGCATTAATACCATGACTTAACAGAAGAGACCTTTCATTAACATAATTTGAAAGGGTATGTTTAAAGATGATTATTCTTCAGCCATGAGAATTCATTAAAAGTAGTGTTAAGTTGAACTATTTATCTATAATTTAAGCATTTTTTTCTTACACTGTGATTCACAAAATGAGACACATTTCCATATCGGGCTGCATCCACTGTGAATTCATCAGATTCATAATCCAGATCAAAGAGATATGTGATTCCTTTGTTGTCATATAACTGCCCCCGTCTTTCAGCTTCTTCACTTGTGATTACCTAGATAAAAAACTATAGTATATTATGTAGCTATTGCTGAACTGAAGAAACATTCTTCCACAGACTATCAATATATTGATGCCTACAAATGTTTAAAAAAGAAATTTAAGTGTTATCAAAACAAATATTCAACATGAATTAAGAGCTAGATGAAAGAGGCAAGGAAAATGAAGGGTGAAAAACAGATGGTGAAAAAAAATAATTCTTTAACTTTAAAAAAAAATTAAATGTGAAACAAGTTGAAACACTCATTATTTTCATTATTATAAGGCTGTTCAAAAAGCTGTAAATATAGCTACCTATAGGACATAAGCACATTTACAAGTGTAAATTTTCTAAATGTGCTCTGAAGGCACATTTTTCCTATAACTAATCTGCACACAGTTACAAGTGGAAATTTATTATATAACAAGAGAAGGCATGTTAAATTTGCAGTTAATTGGAAAGTTTTGTAGAAAATGTAGCATGAAATTCTATAGATGAAAATTTTCCAACCCCTGGATGATGGTTAACAGTGGTCATGTTTGCCTTCCATGTGTGAGGCCCTGGGATCTATCCCCAGCATAAAAAACATCAACTGTAGTTCTGCTCTTAGAAACACAACTTTATTACAAGCTCAGTTCAATAAACCAAAAATATCTAAAGTGATTCATGCTATCAACCAAATGTGACTGCTATATTTAAAAAAAAAAGAAATATATAAGATCTAGCTTCTTGAATAATGATCTATAATAATCTGCCATTGTCTAAAAATATAAGGATCAAAACAAGAATCTCATCTAATTTCAGAATCTTAGAAGCCTATAGAAACCGGTCAGATTTGATGATCCCAGACAAGCAACCACACTCATGTTCCTAGTACCAGCTTGATCCATCATTCAGTTTTAGGTAGTGTGGCGTAGTCAACAGCACTCATTTTGAATCTTGATTCTTCTTGATAACAATATAATCTATGTGATGTTGGGCAGCTTCCTCAATTTCTCTGTATCTCAGTTTCTCTAATAACATAGTTAACAGTTCTACCTCATTGAGTTGAGAAGATTATTGAGTTCATATAATAAGATGCTTAGAATAGTATGTGGTCTATGGTGAATATTATTTTTATATTTATGCATGGTTTGTATATAAATAAATTTGATAATATTTGGTCATTTAGAGAATGATCTACAGTTCAAAGTATCTGATTTTCAGATGCAGTTTGATTTTCTTATAGATGCAATAAATGGTTTTGTGTCCCCTTTTACAATACCTACTTATGAAGTGTTGATCTACTCTATATTATTCATGTTGATACAAAATAAGTATAGCCAAACGTAACCATATTTGGCCAAATAAATTAATTATAACTTGAAACTTATAAGTTTCAATGTCAGTATGTGTTTAGGTCTGATTTTCTTCTTAATGAAACTAAAAAATAAAAATTACTTGTTATATTTTAAAATGTACACATACTATGTTCAATGACTGTAAGTGGGGGTTTTTTGAAAAATAGCTATATAAACTTATCATTATATATTTTTGCTCAGATGTAAAATTAAAAGTTTCCTTTTGATGAGGTGGTTACCGAGGATTGAACTCAGTGACACTCAACCACTGAGCCCCATCCCCAGCCCTATTTTATATTTTATTTAGAGACAGGGTCTCACTGAGTTGCTTAGAGCCTCGCTTTTGCTGAAGCTGGCTTTGTACTCACGATCCTTCTGCCTCAGCCTCCTGGGTCCTTAGGATTAAAGGCTGTGCCACTGCACCTGACCAAAAGTTTAAAAGTTTACATTTTTAATTATTCCAGTGAACCCTTCTCCTAAACCTGAATTTTTTTTTATATTTGCAAATGATGTATCAAGTATTTATGTTAATTGAGGTAAAAAGGTAACTTCACAAAAATATAAACCTTACAGGAACATTATGTGATAAACTGAACGTACCTCTCCAACATATTCCATGACAAAACTCATTTTTTTAATCTTCATAAGGGTTTTTACACCCCAGCCACAGCCATTGCTAGTTCGAAAGATGCAAAGTGAATACTGCGTGCCTTTTTGCACAATCCTATTGGGACAATCAGGTCCACATCGGCACCTTGAGTTGCATTCATAGATGGGGGTACCAGGTGGGATTCTAATTTGCTGGTTCTTATTATAAGCCAAAAGAACTCCAGCTTCAGCAGGACAACATTTCTCAAAGTAACAATCTGTGCATGAACAACCAAATGTAGCTTCATTGACTAAGCTGATCCCAGGAGCTGGTTTGTATTCATTAATGTAGAAGAAGTCTGAAGGTGGACCCTCTAAGTCAACAGTATTTTCAACAAATATCATTCCTTTATGATTCTTTCTTCTGTTGAGTTCATCTTGCCATCTCTGCAGAGCTATCCTTTGTTTGGCTTTCTTTACAATGTACTCAGCAACAGCAGGTTTCAAAGCTTTATTATTGTCTTTTGAAATTACTGATTTGCCTTTTTTTACCTGAGATAAATAATTATGCCTGTCATTAGAGAATTGTTGAAGCAGTAACGGACACTTGAGATTTTGTAAGGGTTCCCAAGTATTTGTAGAATCTGGCCATCCTTTCCATTTTACAAGATAATATTCCATATCCTTAAATGCAAAAGAATGCAATTAGATCATGACAAATTATTTAAGATAATTAAGCACTTTAAAGAGTAAGCTACCATTACCATTTTTCTTGAGAGATTACAGAATATGGGAAGAGCCATAGTTTCTATCAGTTGAAGTACAGATCACATAAACTATTTTTCTTTATATTACATAGAATAGAATTTATATACAGCATAACATGTCTGATAATAGGTTAAAAAGTCTTATCTAGAGAAAAACAGAGATACTAAAATTTATGAATATTTGACTAAACAGCTATTAGGTTAAATATAAAAGCATTTATCTTGATTATGGAAATATATGATCCTAAAGCTAACTATCCATGTCTTATGTTAGTGGCTTACTTGGCTAGCATAGATGCAGGCTTTCTTTAAGGTACAGGACTTAATATTGTTAACTGGACATGAGGGAAATTATATTTCTTAATGTCATAGGCACTCATCCCCTAGATATGCTAAAGATACACTGTCCAATACAGTCACTGCTCAGCTACTGAGAACCTGAAATGTGGCTAGTCTGAACTGAAACGTGCTTTAAGTATAAACCCATTGAATTTTATAGACTTGGGCAGGGAGAGTAAAATACCTCTAAGTTTAAAAAAATACTGATCAGAGACTAGGGTTATGGCTCAGTGGTGGAGTGCTAGCCTCCAATGTGTGAGGCCCTGGATTCGATCCTCAGCACCACATATAAATAAACAAATAAAAAAAAGTATTTAAAAAAATACTGATCACATGTTGAAATATCTTTCATATTTTGTATTAAATATACTACTGAAAACAATTTCACCTCTTCCTTTCTACTCTGTTCAACATGGTTACTAAGAAAATTTTAAGACATCCTGTACACACTGTATTTCTATTGAATGGCATTCTAGAGGATGCTAGCCTTATTTAGAGTCACACATAACTAATCAATTGGATCAGGTAACAGGCACTCCAGCCACCAAAAGTCAAATATTTTGACTTATCACACAAACTGATGTTAATCATCATGGTATCTTGAATCTTGTGTTTGTTTACACTACAGTAATATATTTTCTTTCCTTAAAATCAGGCAACATCTTGTTTCTTAACTTTCTCTTTTAAAAAGTTAAGCAGGGCTTGGTGATCCTGTAATTCCAGCAACTCCAGAGGCTGAGCCAGAAGGATCCCAAGTTCAATGGTTAGGATTAGTCTTTAGCAAGGCCCTAAGCAATTTAGTGAGATCTGTGTCAAAATAAAAAATAAAAATGGCTGGGGGCTGGGTACGGTGGCGCACACCTGTAATCCCAGCAACTCAGGAGGCTGAGACAGGAGGATCGTGGATTCAAAGCCAGCTTTGGCAACAGCGAGGAGCTAAGCAACTCAGTGAAACCCCATCTCTAAATAAAAATACAAAATAGGGATGGGGATGTGGTTCAGTGGTTGAGTATCCCTGAGTACAATCCCAAGTACCCCCCGCAAAAAAAATGCAGTTAAGGATATAGAATAAATTTATATATTCCAAAGTGAAGTCTCTCACTACCTTTTTCTCATCCTCCAGAATAACTAATATATCCACATGCCCTAAGATAAAATAAGCTCATAAAATTCTTCTGAAATATGAAAGTAATTAAACTGCATTTGACAATTTCTAAGTATCACATAATTTGTGAGATAATGAAAAAACTTAATTGGGACTAAATTTGCCTTTCCCTAAAAAATTTAGTGAATTTTTATTATAAAGTAAAGATGTACAGGACAGTTATTTAAGTATCCATTAATTCCCTCCATCCCCCACCAAAGTGCTGGGGATAGAACCCAGGGGTCTCTTGCAGTTGGGCAAGCACTCTACCACTAAACTATTCTCCAAGCCCATATCCACAATTTAAAAATGACAAATAACCTGGAAGGTCTAGGCCGTGTTCCCTAGCATACTGCTGAAGATAAAAACTGGACTAAGGAACACTGTGACACATTCATGACTGAACTTAATATTATCCTCATTATCTATATCTTAATGTTTTATTTTATTTTACTCAACAAGCAGTAATTCTTATGAATAAAATTGACTTGCTTTTTGAAAACTGCAAGTTTTCAAAAAACCCATTTCTGTTAAAAATGTGTTAAATTATGGTCTAAGGACATGCACAAAAACTGTATTTCCATGGAAATAAATAATTGTAGTTCCAGACACAGGAAAAAAAAAAAAAAGGACTAGATGTACAACAAAGTATTTTTGTCAAATTAATTCTTCCCCTTGTCAGATACCTGCTAATAATAGTCCAAGTTTGCTGTTATCTATACTGAAGCAGACATGAAATCCATTAGGCAGTATCTAACATATATCACTCTTAAGTTTTAAAAATTTTTTGATGCCAGAATAAAGCAATGCAACCCTGGTCCTTTTTTTTTTTTCCCCCTGCTACATTTTTTCCTACAATAGTCCTGACTTATGCTAAACATTAAAAGAAAACAAAGAAACAGAAATCCAGGCTGTAAGTCAGATGGTTAAATTATCCTGTAAAGTTAAAAACATCTAAGTCTAAAATTTACAATTTAATCTATTGTATTGTTTAATCTTGCATTTAAGTGACTAAATTTTATATGTTGACCACATTGGCACCTACTTAATTTATGGGGAGTAAGTACACTTAGAAAATATGAATGCCTCTTTGACAAAAGAGAATAGAAATATTTTATCTGTGGTCTGTAGACATTTTATAAGCATATTTTACTTTTAAAATCTAAAAGACTTTCTATTTTGAAAAATAATTTTACAAAGGAAAATTAAGAAACAAGTTCAGTTAATTAATAACCTTAAATTCTAAGTCAAAAAGCTCATAGACTTATATATCAGTATCTTATTCTGATGCGTAATCAACTCTTGATTACCTTCAGAAATGGAATACAGCAGTAAAAATAACTATGTAATTTGGAATGCACCATTCAAATTTTTTTCTTCAAGACATTTTTGCCCACTATATTTGGCTTAAATTAAATTTAAATATTTTAATATATATAACAAATATATGAAAGTTTAGGCACTGGGGCATGAAGAAACAATAAGGTATTACAAGCCTTTACAAATAAAATTTAATTGGGAAAAAAAGGCAATAATATGAAACAGCTAGCAGTGCAAGGCAATACAATTTTCAATGCCAAAATAAATAAGACAAGCAATACCACTAGAATATAAAGAGGAGAATCAATATAGTCCAGATAAAGGGAACAGAGGAAGTAGAACCAACTACACTGTGAAAGGCTGACAGAATTTGCTGAGTAGGGAGCATGGCAGGCAGGGTGAGAAACAAGCAAAAGCTTGAAGCTAAGATTTGCATGAAGTATCCAGAAAACTGTTAAAAGATGAACTTGTCGAGCTTTAAAATTCAGAATGTTGAATCAAAATAAAACCAATGCTGAGCTAAGGGAAGAATAAATTTTAGACAACCCTGACTATTTGGCTGAGGAATCTGAACTGGCCCAATCAATCTTACAATTCTTAGAATACAGAGCATTTCTGTGTGGAAATTCTAAATACATTTAATTCCACCTAATTAGTAAAGTTTATTTATCTAATTGCCAAACCAATGAATTCTTCAATCCTCACCTAATTCAAGCTCTCTGAAGCAGCAGCCCTCACTTGACCATTCATTAGGCTTAAAAATCATATTTTTTCATTCTTATTCCTTTTCTCATTTTCTTTGTTAAGACTGAGTCCTCTATCACTTAATGTAGATACTCAGGACTTGTCCTTGACCCTTTTTACACTAAAAAAAAAGTATTGATGCCTTTGATAATCTGATGGAAGATATGGAAATTTCCATAACAAATGTCAGATATATAACCTTTTGAGTAATTTCAAGGTGTTTGGATGTTCAGGGTGTTAAGAATTCCTCTACACCAGACATGGTGGCACACACTTGTAACCCCAGCAACTCATGAGGCTAAGGCAGGAAGATCACAAGTTCAAAGCCAGTCACAGCAATTTGGTGAGGCCCTAGGCAACTTAGTAGTTGTGGCTCAGCCATTAAGCATTGGTTTCAGTCCCTGGTACAAAAATAAATAAACAAGGGCCTGAAGTTGTAGCTCAGTGGTACAGCACTTGCCTAGCACACGTGAGACACTGGGTTCAATCCTCAACACCACATAAAAATAAATAAAAGTATTGTGTCCATCTACAACTAAAAATATTTTTTTAAAAAACACCTCTATTGGGGTTGGGGTTGTGACTCAGAGGTAGAGCGCTCGCCTACCATGTGTGAGGCACTGGGTTGGATCCCCAGCACCACATACAAATAAAAAATAAAGATATTGTGTCCACCTATAACTAAAAAATAAATATTAAAAAAAAACCTCTATAAATTCTCTTTCTGAGCAATGTTGCTGTAGTTAACTATATGCTGATGATTCCCAAAACTTTATCTCCAACTCCATATATCCAACAGCCTACTTGATGTCCAAAAGATTCTTTTTTTTTTTTTTTTTTTTTTGTACTGGTGATTAACACAGAGGTCCTTTACTACTGAACCACATCCCCAGCCCATTTTATTTTTTGAGTCAGGGTCTAAGTTGCTTAAAGCCTTGCCAATTTGAAGCTAGCCTCAAACTTGCAATCCTCCTGCTTCAACCTCCCAAGTCACTGGGATTAGAGGTACAGACCACCATACTCAACACTAAAATGTTCTTAAAGCAATCTACCTGCATGGAATTCACCGCTGTCCTTCCTTAACTGATTCCTTCTGTATTCCTTGTCATGATGAATCTTACCTTTCTACCTTTTCATACAAGCTTAAAAAACAGAAGGCAATCTCAATTCCTGTCCATTTCTATTACTATAGCTTAGTTACTTCAGGCCCTCAATTTTTGCCTGGATTATCATATTAATCTCCCAACTAATTTCCCTGCCTCCAAACTGACAGTACTTTAGTCTATCCTTCTTTGAAAAGTTTTCATTAAAAAAAAAAAAAGTTAATTATTCCCCCTTAGCCTATAAAGTTCAAATTTCCTATTATAACA